TCTTTATTGCCGACGTTTCAACGTGGATTGCATCACGTCGTGGTCACGGCAAGACTGCAATGTAATTAAACAATTAATTGGACAGTAACAAATCATTCTTATTGATTTTATATTTAGCAAAATAACTAATAAATTAATAATTAATATTAATAATTAGTAATATATTCAGTTCCATGTATTAAAATTTTGTCAGTATTTACTATTTGAGAATGAAATGTAAAGTGCCACACTTAAGCCCAAGAGGTTTAAGTGATACTAAATATTCTTGTATGTATTTGCATGCTCGTTAAATAAATAAAAATAATACTTGTAAATTCCTAATTGGCGGGATCTCAGTTTCGTATAGTCTATGGTCTAGTAAAAAATGTAACTAGGAAATGTTAACAGAGGGAGACTTTGTACAAAAGTCGCGTGCTTGGGTACCTTTTTCCCATTCGTGTTTCAACCGTAAAGCAGTTGTGTTTGCATGGCTGTGTTTCGGTTTGAAGGGTGAGATATGGCGTGAATTTACTGGGTACAGAGGAATAACATCTGAGTCCTCAGGAATGGCTACGCATGGGGTGTATCATGGGCGAAACAGTATACTCTGTTGTGTCCATGGTACTGCTCATGTCTATAGGCGACGGTTACCACTTTCCATCAAGTGGGGCGTCAGCTTTTTTGCCATTCTAAGTTGTATAAAAAAACTAGAATTGTTTATGATTCGATTCTCTTCCGTTCGCGCTTGAACAAACAAACGTGTCTCTACGATTATATTTCAGTAATTCAGTAAATTATTGAAATATAACTCGGTAGATATTGTAATTGTCAGTGTATTATAAGAAATAAATCACGAAGCGAATTCAGTAATCTTCAGTTTCATTTACCAAGCCAACAAAACCACTTACGCCCAATATCAAACACTATTTTCGTGCACAAATATAAAAGTACTAGCATCAGAACATAGTCCGCGCTAGTTTGAGTACCGCAAAACTGATGGATTATCTGGCAAGAAAACTTCAAATAACTGTAAGTTATCTCTACTAGTTGCATGAGAAAGTACTTAATGTTTAAACGAGAGGGAAATAAAATTTTAACAACTAAGTCAAATCCTCGATAGTATAGTGGTCAGTATCCCCGCCTGTCACGCGGGAGACCGGGGTTCAATTCCCCGTCGGGGAGGTCAGTTTTTTTGACAAAATTAATCGACACGTTGGTACGTGTCGATTAATTTTGTATTTGTAATAGTGGATTTGTCCGTGGTAGTCTTATTTTTTATCATTTTAGAAACCTGGACGATGGATATCTTATAACAATAAAAATGATTTTATAGGCCAGTAAGTACGTAGTGGGTGGTAGTAGCATAAGATTATGTTATCTATGATACTAGATACTAAACAAATACCTATACTGACCGCAAAATTCCATTCCGCAATATTTCCTTTACAAACATCTTGTTAACTGTTGAAGCGATACACTTCAACCAAATGGAAACTCGGCAATACACATGTATAAATAGAAATACAGCAGTTGGTTACAATCGACATAGATTTATGTAGCTAGATGTCACTACAGTACGTGTGTGTACGTTAAAAATATATTAGATAACAAACTTTTAATATTTTCGAAAATAGATATACTCGTGTGTGTATATATATATATATATACATAGTCGTAGAATACTGACAGATCTATTCTACGACAAGACGTAGAATAGATCTGTCAGTATTCTATGACCTATTCTACGACAATGACGACATATATACGATATCTATTTTCGATCAATACGGTACATGGTACTGCTCATGTCTATAGGCGACGGTTACCACTATCCATCAGGTGGGCCGTCAGCTTGTTTGCCATTCTAAACTGCATAAATAAAATATCCATATTACCCATGCCTAGTGTCTACTTCTTACCTTAGTTAAGTACAGAAGAAACTATCTAATCATCTACCTACATATATTTCAATTCAGAATTAGCACATTCATCGTCATCATATCAGACGTTAACTGGCCACTTGTAAACATGGGCCTCCCCTATAAGAGAGGGTTTTACCAGTAGTTGCCACGCTTAGCAAGCGGGTCGGAGAACCGCACAACTTTGGTGATTTTTTAAGATAGACACTGCTGCTATTTAAATTAAATTATTAAATTCGACTATTAAATTCCCATAGTCACCTCTTACGACACTCTCGGAAAAGGAACGGACAGCATATTACATATGTAAAATGTTTAAAGTATTATAAGCAGTAGGTACTTATAAAGGGTTTCATATCAAAGATTTGCTAGAGATCAATAGTACCTAGATAGAGCATACTTCCTCTACAATCTTCATCTCCCTACAAATGCTTAGATAAAAACTATTCTTGACATTTAATATTATCACCGCGCCTCATCCTGTACTTTCATACTTCCGTTCGTCCTGACCAAAGATTGGATATTAGAATTTTTTTCTTGTCTTGTTTTTTTTGCGAATAACAAAAAAGACGCATTAGCTGGCAGTTGAGTAACATTTTTTCAGGACTTTTTTATCATCACACTTTCATCATCTAGATATATGATTTTTTTTTTATTATTTTTATTATTTCCACTGCTAAACATAAGGGGATTATTGCCAGTAGTTGCTACGCTTGGCAGGCGGGTTGGCAACTGCAGTTAGGCTTTTAGAGATGTTATAAGAAGACGCTGCTCCCTCACCCTCTCTTAGTCGCCTCTTACGACACCCAGGGAAAAGGAAGGGATGGCCCATTCTATACTGGGACACACACGGCAATACATGATTCATAGTAATATCTATATATTGTAATTACAATATGTACATATATACCAATAACGGATATGTAAAATATTGTTTATCCAATATATAAAATCAAAATAAAGAACCCGATAGAAATAGATATCTAACTAGAGTAGGTGATATCGAAATGAGCGATGACGTTTTCTCTCTATTTTTTAGTGGGATCCAATATATACATATTGGAACGGTACCGATATTACAAATGTCTAATATGATCTAAATGTTTCTATTAAGTACCTAACAAGTAGTTTTTATAACACCACAGTTTAAGATTAATATTTATAATTTAGAACACACTCCTAGTATCTATAGATACTTACTATTTCAGAAGTTATATTTTACGTGATAAATTTTACGACTACCGATAAAATTTATGGCACGTTTAATTTTCATATGTGCGTCGTCTATCTCTATGTACATCGTTGTACATAATAGGTTCGTTTCTAGCGGAAACCGTATTAAATGCACCAACGCCGGATTTCCTTTTAAACGTCCATTATTAAGACAAATATTTGCAGACGCCGAGACCGGTCGTGATCTCGTTATTATGCTTCGGGCGTAGAATAAAGTACTTACTCCAGGGTGCCGAGAGCGCCACCTATCATATTATATGAAGCACTCAACTATAATTTTCAGCTTTCCGTTAGAGGATCAAACACGATGAAATTGCTATAATTAAGATTAACTTTGCGATTTCGTGTCGACGGAGCAAAAAAAGCCGGTTAAGTGCGAGTCGGACTCGCGCAACGACGGTTCCGTACAAAATCATCAAATAAAAAAAATGTGAAATAACTACCAATTTACAGTTTTCGGATTTTTCCTTTACTTGTGTTACATGACATTGCTTCTTGGCAAATTTCATTATTCTAGGTTAACGAAAAGTATCCTATACGTTTTGATTACCTTTGCGAATGTCAAAATATGCGATATAAATGGACGAGAGGGAAACTTTGTAAAAAAGTCGATTGCTTAGGTACCTCTGTCCCATTCGTGTTTCTACCGTGAAGCAGTTGCTGTTTTTCGGTTTGAAGAGGTACAGAGGAATAACACCTGAGTCATCAGGAATGGCAACGCATAGGGGGCGAAACAGTATACTCTATCATGTCCATGGTACTGCTGATGTCTATAGGCGACACTTTCCATCAGGTGGGCCGTCAGCTTGTTTGCCATTCTAAGTTGTATAACATAAACGGCCGTCTCTTTTGATTGCGTCGATTTAGAAGCTTGATTTTTTTTCACTGCTTTAAGAGATTGCAGACCTGAGTGTTAGCTGATACCTCCTCCTCCTGAGAGTGAGACTTGATACCTCCTCCACGCGTTCCTAAGAAAAAGGGTCTTGATAGACGGACGGACGGAAAACGAAGTGATCCTATAAGGGTTCCGTTTTTTCTTTTAGAGTTACAGAACCCTAAAAATATATTATGAATTACTTGGTTTTTTATTTCTTACTTTTTTATTTGGTTACCCGTCTGCCAAATGTGGCAACTACTGGCAAAATCCCACCAAGGGGGAGGCCTACATTCATCAGTGTACTGTTAACGGCTGATATGATAAGGATGGTTACAATCATTTTTTTTTTCGTAAATTACACGATATGAACTCAAAATTAAAAAAAAATGGATAAAGCAACACAAATGTACGGTTACTGTGGCACTCAGTACCTACTCCTCAAAAACTTAGCATGAAGATAGGCAAATATTTTTCATAGTTTTTATACTTTAGACTCGTCCATATAAAGCAAGTAAGTTTGATCCCCTACTCCGTCCTTCCACCTTTCCTCACCCCCTTACATTATGACGTAATTTATAGACGACTTCTACCCTTCTAGGTATCATCATTATGTCGGGTTTTAACTGTCCACTGCTAAACATAACCCTCCCCTTAAGGGGTCTTGCTAGTAGTTGCCACGCTTGGCCAATCCGCCTGGCAACCGCAGTTAAGCTTTGAAGATGTTTAAGAGGGACGCTGCTGCCCATCACTATTCCTATATATCCCTATTCCAGGTATGTATGAGTCACAAACTCTTTCATTTCTTCATTATGCTTGCATTACTCCATCCTAATATTATAAATATGAAAATATATTTGTTTGTTACTTTTGGCTCCTTAACACCTTAACTGATCGTTATGAAATTTGATACTCAGGTAGTATTTGAGATGAAGAACATAAGCTACTTTTATCCTCGTCAATTAACGCAAAGGCGCAGTAAAAACTAGTCTAGATATAAATAAAAGTACTTTATTTATTATTTAATTTTTTTTAATTTCCTACCTTACACTCTACAAAACTTATAATATTTTGTCGCATAAGCGAACCATCAATATATTTAAATTAAATTCACAGAATCGGACATTACATTCACAAAAATATATTCACTCATTATACTTAAGTCATACTTAAAGCTATCTTAAACTATAGTTACATTACAGCCTACAAGTGATAAACCATAGATATTAAGTTGAATAGATCAGAACTGGAAAATAAACGCATGACATCCTTATTTGATCGTTTTGTCAGTCACTTGTGTTCTAACAATTTTAAATGTGTTTTCCAGTCTAAGTAGTATAAAAAAGTATGAATATAATAATATAGTAATAAGTAAACAAACAGTCAAATGACAATATTTTAATTGTATAATTAAAAAAAAATGCACAAAATATGGTCAAGGTTAAAATATTCATCAAATATTAATATTATAAATGTGAAAATGAATGTAAAATTTGCGTATACACCTATCACTATGAAATTAGGTATACAAGTATTATAGAGGATGGAGAATATAGGCTACTTATCATCCCAGTCAGTAAATATATACCGGTTATGCGAACGAAGTCGCGGGTCATAACTAATTATTAATAAATCACTTGTCCGTGTAGGACATTTTTGTCAATTTTTTAACCTAACGGTAAAATTCAAAAAACAAAATCATTAAAACTTTGGCATGGTACTTGATTCTTTACGTTTCTTTTACATACCATTTTTTTATGTCAGATTTAATTAAAAAATACATAATCTGCTGAGAAAATGAAAAGAATTATTGCAGCACTAAATATAAATAATGTCCTCATCTATACAACTCAAGATCTATGGTGAAAAGTAAATTAAGAGGATCTATAAATCAATGTATCGAATTATATTAACATTGGAACTAAATAAACACCATTTACAATAAGTCAAATGCATAGGTATATTAAAGGGGGAGTAGGGGCAAGTAGACTGTGACACCCCAAAATTGTGGGGGAAAGGTATTGTTAGTACCTAATTAAGAATACAGGCTCCATTGCTAGCATTATACATAACTAGGTCGGTCTCCACATAGTCGCCAATGAAAACCATCGCCGTTCTCTCGAATTAAAGGTGATATCATCGCAATTGTCTAACTGACCTGCCTTTTCATCATTACCAATCATCCCCAGTGGCGCCCGCCAGCGTACGCAGTTAACGCGGGCGGAGTTAACATTCCATTACCATCATTGAAAATAACTAAAAGTACAAATCTATAGGCGACGGTTACCACTTACCATCAGGTGGGCCGTCAGCTTGTTTGCCATTCTAAGTTGTATAAAATAAAAACCGGATCTGTCTTCAAATGTCCGGCCTCTTTAAATGTGAAAGGAAACATAAGTTATTCTTCTATCGACCACTTAATACACAAAAAGAGGTTACCAAAACACAGCTGTATGATCTAACATCCTTTATAACTACTCTCCATTCAAAGGTTGCCTGGAAGAGATCGCTCTTAACGATAAGGCCGCTGTGTTATCAGTGTGAACATTTCTTGCAATTGTTTGTATCTATTTAAAATAAGTTTACTATTGTAATCTTTTAGAGGAAACAATAAAGAGTATCTATCTATCTGCCTTTGCCCGTTTATAGTCAGTGGGTAATTAAAAAAAAACATACACGTCAAGTGGTTTCTTGAGTACTAGTATCTCAGTTTATGAGACAAAGGTGAGACGCCTTATGGTTTTCAGCTAGTTCAATTTCTGTCTAATTTCGATGAACTTTCCAACTGACTTCAAAATGTAGGAGATTCTCAATTCGGCTGGTTTTTTTTTGTTTTATATTTGTTACCTCATAACTGCGCCAATTTTGAATCTATCTGGAAAAATCTTTTGTTATCTCAATGGGCACTCGATTGGCATCGAAATTTTATCAAAATCGGTTCAGTGGTTTATCTTTTAAACCAAAATAACTAGCTCTCTGCCATAATTGAAGTTGATTTCTTTTTGCTGTGTGAACTAATCCTTTGATTTCGAAGCTTCAGTGAAGTTGATGTCTCTAAAAAGTATTTTATTAAACACTTCCTCCTATTTGGCTTTTCTAGAGAATCCAAGTTGAAAGCGCAGTTGAAAGGTCCATAGAAGTTGGGCTTGGATCGCATTTGCTGAAAATTACTCTTATAAATTAATCAATTATATGGTTTTTTTTTACTTGCCATTCGTATTCACAAATAATGTAAATTCAAAATTTCACTTCGTCCTTTCTGAAACGACAAAGTGAAATTCTAAGATTTATCTTATCTATCTACACGCCATGTCCTTTGCGTAGTAGACAGAGATTTCACATGTGATAACGCCCTTATAGAAGTTCCCTTGTAATTGCTGCTATAAGACATATCCGTAATATATAGTTATTAATGAATATATTAATGTTAAGAGTCTTGTCAAAATTTCTATTCATGGCATTTATTTACAATATTGTCATTTTCCTAGTATTAATATGAGTCATGATAAATTTTAAGTAGCTACCAGTTATCTTCACAATACAAAAATAATGTTGCCAAGTCTGAAAAGTAGTTGTCGTGACTACAACGTAAGTGTCTTAATAAAAAAAAAAAACATTTAAAATTAATAAAAATTGTCTTTAACGAATTAAACAAAAAATAATAATTAAAACTTCAAATATTGTTCTATCTTTAAAAAAAATATATCATATTTTTTATGGGCATTTTGAAATTAGAACTGGTAACTTTACTCATAACTCAATGCTTGATCGTGTATTGTGCACCTTAACATACAATGATGATTATTGAAAGCTACCACATGGGGCCATCACATTACGATCCTTACTCGTTCTCAATTTAGTGTTTTAATTCATATTTTATGCATAATACAATCTACTGTCAAATTCTAAAACATATCCCAAAAGTGGGCAAATTTTTTCTTCGATGTATCAGTTATCAACTCCATTTAACTGACGGTATAAATTAGTTGGAGATACCTCAATCGATTTGAAATGTATATCATATCCAAGTTCCATATTATCTATTGTTTATTCGAGTTCCTCTCTGCTAGATGTAGTCGGGCCTGAGCCCGTCAGACGATTCTCAGATGTTGTTCATATCGTATAGCACTTGGGCGATCGTTCTAGACGCTTCCACGCTGCTCAGGGCGATCGATGCTAAGTGAGCCTCGTATGAGCGGAGTTGTCTGAAATAAATATTACTTTATTAGCCTTCAGTCGAATTTGTCCTATAAATATTCTCGTGTCCTATAAATATTCTCGTGTCCTATAAATATACTCGTGTCCTATAAATATACTCGTGTCCTATAAATATACTCGTGTCCTATAAATATACTCGTGTCCTATAAATATACTCGTGTCCTATAAATATACTCGTGTCCTATAAATATACTCGTGTCCTATAAATATACTCGTGTCCTATAAATATACTCGTGTCCTATAAATATACTCGTGTCCTATAAATATACTCGTGTCCTATAAATATACTCGTGTCCTATAAATATACTCGTGTCCTATAAATATACTCGTGTCCTATAAATATTACTATATATATTATCGCTCTTACTATCTCTATTAAACCTGTTTGTATGCTTCTGAAATAAAATAATAAAATAGAAAAAAAAGGTTTTAAATAAAAAAAGTTTACAATATTTAGAAATTACATATCAAAAATATATTAAAAAAAAGACTAAGTACAATATAAATTTGATACAGTCAGAGACCAGTTTAGCGTGCTATAGTTATCTTTCAATGGTCGAGGGTTCGATTCCGGCACAACACAAACATTAATATTCACGACTCTGTTTTTATTGATCTGAGTGTTTTCTATACAGCAGGTATGTATTTACAAAAAAAAAGTATATAAGTATTTCTATCATTTGTCTAGTAACCACAGTAGCTCTGCTTATTTTCATACTAGATGGCGTTGTATGATATGACCAAAGATTATTTACAATATACCTTCCCCTCTACTCATACTCACCTTCGTCCAGTATTGGAATATATGACAATATTCCTAAGTATAAGGGCCGCTGTAAGTCGTATACTCTTCGTTACAGGACCTTCATTCTCATCCTGTGGAACATTAAAATATAATTTAAGTAATTATGCCTCTTTTAAGTCAAAAATAATATATTAACTATATACTGAATTATGTACGATTACATAAACTACATCTACAACCCTCGTGGTATTAGGTTACAACTTATTGTTGTCCCAAAATTGAAGTGTTTACGTCATTTAAATGAATGTAAACTTTAAACACAAATAAAAACGCATGCAGCAAAATATATAAGCAAACTCGTTACAGAAGATTTGTAAAACAAAATACTGGCACACGTTAATTCTAATTTAATTCTATGCCACAATATGTACTCTCTCCCTCTTTGTCCCTCCCTTTCTCTCTCTCTCTCTCTCTCTCTCTCTGTCTCTCTATACTGTAACTGTAAAATGTGCATAATTATTTAACAGTGCAACAACCCCCTTAAAGCAACTATAAATACTAGTCCGATCATATACATAAATAACTAAGTGGATAACAAAGCAACATATTTTTAAATAAATAACAACAAAGCACACAAAAACAATAAAATATGGCACTAAATATATTTTAAAATGGCACAATTATTCCTCAAGGGCCCTATAAATAAAGGAGAAAAAATCAGAATATATTTTTAATCGTATTATATTAATATAAACATGTATAAAACATTGTTGGAATAAAATAAACAGAAAAATTCCTTTAAAACTTCTATTTACTGTTCATTTCGGGAATATTACTAAAAATGATTAATAATATATTAAATTATCTATTACTAAAAATGTTACACAAAAACTTCAATGAGGATAAAATTATTATAGGACAAACTCGAAATTAAACATTTTCTATGAAAAAAGGACCATCGCAGTGGAATAAAGAACCTCTATTTAAAATCATTTCAAAATTTACAAAAATATATTAATAATATACTAATTATAATATTAATATACGAACAGGATCACGTCATTGAAATACGTTCTCTACACACACTCGCAATCCAATAAAAGCTTAAATATATTTTTTTATAAATTGCCCCATCGAATAATTTTATATTACCAATAAAAACATTTTTAATACAAACATTTTGCGTTTTAGCCACAATATTGATACCAAACAAAAAAAAATACACATGACAACACAAAAGCTAACGTTATGCGAGTCTCACCAGTTGCTCCGGTGTGCGACTGAGTTCGGCCCTGTGCTGCACGCACACAAACGCACACGTTAGTGATAGCACGCAGAGTGACGCAAAAACAACCAATTATTACACTATGGAATTTAATATAAAACTTTCCATTCAAACTATGACACTACGTATCAATCAAACAAAGTCTGCGCTTTCGATATACAGACTTTTTCTAAACTTTATTTTTTGTTTGTAATGGATGAACTTGTTTGTGATGAATGAATTCAAAAAGTACTTTACTTATTTTAAATATTATTTCGCCTATAGAAAACTACTTTTATTAGCGAATAACATGGACTATATTTTTTTTTTAATTAGAGATCTTTTAGGTATGTAGCCGTGCGCAACCGTGGAAAGTCGTGAACTTTTTTAAACAACAAAAAAATGTAACGTCACTGACGACTGCAATCGAAAGCAATAGAATATAAATTTTACGGTCTTTAAAATAGAGTACTAATTCAAAAATTGATTGTTGCATTAACGGCCTTTCAAGTTTCAGACTATTTAATCGATTTTACATATTATTTTTTTAATTAAAATTTCCATAGTATAATAGTTCATTGCAAAAAATGAAAGAGCAAAGCTGTCTACCAACGACAAAATTTTGACGATCGGCAGAGTTCTTACTAATTGTCTTACGAATAGATATGTTACAGTAGCATTTACCATGTGGATTAAATTAAACAAAATTGTAAATGTTAAAGAAAGATATGATCTATCTATATAACAAATTCCATTAAATTTCTTAATGGAATTTGTTATATACATAAATTCAGCCATTTAATCGTAATTACATTATAAATCACCAAATTATTTAGTGGTGACCAAATTAGTTAGGGAAATACATCACATTAAACCAATGTAAAAGAAAGAAACCTCGACCCTATAAGGTAATTTTAGAGGAAGGATTTATTAATGATGAAGGGGCTCCAGACACCATTGTTAATAATATACTTTGTCAAATCGACACCAGAACCATCATGGTCAATTCATTGTGCTCGTCTCAATTGGCCAACTGATCTGTGATTTTTATCACCTATCATCATCATTGGTATCCCGCCAGCGTGAACTAAAATCGCAGGCGGAGTTTACCAATCTATCATACACACACAAAATATTAAGTTAATATGCTTGCCTCATCAAAAACCTATGGTTTGCCCAGAATGAATTAGCCCAGACGTGGGATAATAATAGACTGTTACGATGATATATAACTTACCATTAGCTCTCTAGGATTGAACATATCCGCCGCGTGTTTGTTTAAAGCCGCAAGTGCCGCGTTCGGTGGATATCCGAGGGATACCGGCTTGTTTGCTTCTGCTTCGGCCGCCGCGTGGCGCCGTGAGTTATATAACGCTTTTAACGCCTGTGAAATAAAGTTCAAATTGCAATAAAAAAAAAAATCTTGCCATATTATAAAAAGTAAACTAATAAATAAAAGTACTTTTAATAAAATATAAAGATTGGTAATGGATAAGACAGAAGAGCGAGATAGGCAGATTAGAACAGGTAGGCAATGTAGTCACGTACAGGCTAGTGGTCTGTAGTGAAATAAAATGATATATGGACAAAACAAATATCATACGTAAATAAAAACGGGCAATAACATAATTTTCAACCGACTTCAAAAAGAAAGAGGTTCTCAGCTCGCTTGTATTGTTTGTTGCCTCATAACTCCGTCAGTTCTAAACCGATTTGGAAAATTCCTTTTTTCAACCGAATGGACATACTTGCAGACTTTTTTAATGGATGATAATGGAATGGTAACTCCGCCAGCGTATACCATTAGCGCAGGCGGGTGCCAGTGGTGGATGATAGGTGAAAATAAAAAGGCAGGTTAGTTAGTTAATTGTGATGAATAAACCTGGAATTGGTACCATAGAAATTTTATATTATTTTATTTTTAATAGATCAAAATAAATAATTTTGTCACAAATGAAGTTGTTTTCTTTGTGGAACACAATTTAATTATCAACGCATAAAAAGACCTATTTATTTATCTTGCTCTAACATACATATATTGCTGTTTATTTCCCTTTCACACTAGCAATATATATATATATATATATATATATATATACGGAAGGTGGTAACAATAAAGGCGTGTACTGACATGCGGCGAGCAGTGCTTGTCGGTGAGGTGGTTGAGCAGCGCGAAGGTCTTGCGCGGCACGCGGTCGCAGTCGAGCCACAGGCACGGCGCCTCGCCCGCCGCCGACGGCGGGCAGTGTGAGCGTGCAGCGTGCGAGAACACTTCGCTCGCGCTCGAGAACGTTCTGCGGGACAACCACTCCGCTATCACTGTCACTATCATCACTACATAGTATATAAATTGTTAATTTTGCACATAAAAACACAAACGATTATTTCAATTAAAAATTTATCTTCCACAGCGTGTTGGCTGACAGAGGGAGACTTTTGTACAAAAGTCGATTGCTTGAGTACCTCTGTCCCATTCGTGTTTCAACCGTGAAGCAGTTGTGTTTGCATGTCTGTGTTTCGGTTTAAAGGGTGGGATATAGGGTGAATTTACTGGGTACAGAGGAATAACATCTGAGTCCTCAGGAATGGCAACGCATGGGGGTATCATGGGCGAAACAGTATACTCTGTTATGTCCATGGTACTGCTCATGTCTATAGGCGACGGTTACCACTTACCATCAGGTGGGCCGTCAACTTGTTTGCCATTCTAAGTTGTATAAAAAAAAATTGTTCACGACATACATGCAAGTAACATATGAAGAAAAAAATTTTAAAGTGTATATAACTGTAATTTTAAATTTTGAAGTAAACAAATCTGTTTAAAAACATTTGTAAAAACAAACTATTATAACGTAATCCGCCATTTTGTGATCGCGGCCATTTTAAAGGATGTCATTTAATTTATCATTGCCTACTTACTCTTCAGGCTCTTTCCACTTGACATCTATGATATCTTTTCACTTGATATCTATAACCAAGCTTGACAAAATATGCAACACCACCTCCATCTTGTGGTGGCGGCATTATAATAATACAATATAACAATAAATTTAATCCAAAATCGGTTACGAGGAACTGGTTCTAATTCCCAAATCCAATAACGTTGCCAGTTATATAGAAACATGTAAAAATATAAAATTATATTACTGACTTGCCACATCCTCTCCAGTGGCATATCCATGGGGTGTCTTCCTGGGGAGTGATCGGTTGCAGCGGTGGTGTCGCTGAAGGTTTCGGTGGAGCTGGTTTCTAGAAAGCAATCACATCAAGACAAATACAAGTATTGCACTAATAAGTGTATGAGTCGATCGCACACACATACACACACATACTTTGTTAAAATGCCATTAAATTATTAAAAATGTAATATACAATTATTTAAGATAAATAAATACGCTCACAACTATAATTATTAACGCCATGTGGTCCGACATAGAATGGGCCACCCCTTCCTTTCCCGTTGGTGTCGTAAAAGGCGACTAAGGGAACGTAATGGTCGAGGGATTGACAGCAGCGTCCCTCTTAAAACATCACCAAGCCTAACTGCGGTTGCCAACCCGCCTGCCAAGCGTAGCAACTACTGGCAAAGCTCCTCCTCCCTTGGGGAAGGCCTATGTTCAGCAGTGGACAGTTAACATATATATATGTATATATAATTTGAATATATATTTATGGTGTACTCACATCAGTGACGGGCTGTGATACTATCATTTCCTTGTCGCCGATCTTGGTGTTGCCCACCATAACTGGCTGCCGAGATATCACTTGACGCATCGCCGGCTGGACGGCCTTCTGCGACATTGTAACAATTTAGCCTTTTTTTTTTTATTTAATTTAAAAACTATTTAAGTTTCCCCTAGAGACTACATCATGGGATTCTTCAAAAAAGGCATATTAAGGTTTCTTAAGGATCGGCAACGAGCGCGTGACATACCTAGTGCTACAAGCATAGATATAGACTATGGTACGCCCGTTTACCATCAGACTGGCCATATGCTTGTTTGCCACCATAGTAGTATAAAAAAATGTCTGTACACGTAACAATGTGCATATCTATAGTTTTGATTAGCCCGAAAGAGGGGGTGCGATCAGATCGCAGCGAACGGCAGGGAATGTCCATACTGTACTTTAGTATTAGAAGAAGTAGAGAGAAGAAATAGAGTAGTAGAAGTAAATAAGCTACTTTTCATTCCGGTAAATAAACATATCCCAGTCACACGAAGTCGCGGGTAAAAGATAGTCAATATATAAAGCAGTCTGTGTTTAGTTATGATATAACCTACTCATGTAATAAACGTCATTTAAATCCGTTAAGCCGTTTAAGCATAAATTAATCCAAACAACTCTACAAAATTACAATTACAAAACAAATATTAAGAGGATTATTACTATAATAAAATTTAATTATTAAATTTTGAAATTTAAAATTTATTTCCAATACTGGAAAATGATTTATTGATAATAATAGATACTTGATTTTTATATATTCAAAAGATTTAATTCTTCAGTTTAAATATAAGAAAATAAACATACTTCATACAATTTCCAAAATATTTTTTCTCTATATTAATCATTCGATTTAATTTATATAATAGATTAAAATTAAAACATATTTTTAATTCTAATATTTCACATTAGAAGAAGCTTAGAATATTAGAAAAACAAATAAAAACTCACCGCATTAGTTTGAATAACACTGGTCTTACTATCGCTCTGTATGACAGACGGTTGACTAACAACAGTGGATTGTACATTGGCAACCACTTGCCTCCTCTGCGGTTGCTGGACAACAGTATGTACACCCGCCTTCATGGGCGTGTTAACAATAATCTGCTGGTTATTGGAAACCGCTATTATCTGCTGGTTGCCTTGCAAGAGTTGCTGGTTGCCTTGTATTATTTGCTGGTTGCTCGACGGCGTACTAATCAAAGCCGGCGGTTGCTTCTGTGTTACAACAATTTGTTGTTGTTGTGTTGGGTTGACTATTTGGGCCTTGTGAGGTTGCGGTTGAGTTGTAATGATCGGTTGCTGACTTGGTGTTATTTGCGGTGAGTTCTGTTGAAACATTCAATGTCAAAATATTAAACAAAATGTAATAAAAATGTTTTTTATTAAAGAGCCTAAAATATAGGAAGTATATAAAAAATATCATTTAAAGCAGCAGAAAGTTACCGTTAATTCAAGTCAAATATCTATTTCGAATAATTTATTTTTGTATAATATGTTACTAAAAATTTTGCCACACTGGACAAGTAGTCACTACTGATTCTTCAATTATTCCAACCTCTGTTCTTTACACATTTTAATATTTTACCAGAGGGAGACTTTGTACAAAAGTCGTTTGCTTGAGCACCTCTGTCCCATTCGTGTTTCTACCGTGAAACAGTTGTGTTTGCATTGCTGTATTTCGGTTTGAAGGGTGGGATATGGCGTGAATTTACAGGGTACAGAAAAATAACACCTGAGTCCTCAGGAATGACAATGCATTGGGGGGGTATAATGGACGAAACAATATACTCTGTTATGTCCATGGTACTGCTTATGTCTATAAGAGACGGTTACCACTCATCCATCAGGTGGGCCGTCAGCTTGTTTGCAATTAGAATAAGTTGTAAAAAAATATATATATATACAGCGCCATCTAGTGGTAACAGTAGTAAGGTAATTTATTTTAAGGAAACAAGCGCAACATGAAGACAGGATAATAAAATTCTTATATTAATAAAAAGCATTTTACAAAAGTAAAATTATGCAGATTATGATTATAGTATTAAAAATATAGTATTAATTTCACCATGATTATAATGAATTTGCCAATATATGGAGAATCAGCTAAATGTATAAATATAAGCGCAGTGTACCCGCAACCAAATTTAAAAGGCGTTTTTAACATATCCGTGAATTTATATTCCTTTTTCTTTGCTTATCTTTTTTAATAAACAATCTTGATATATGTATTATTTAGTGAGGGGATTGTAAAAAAAAATGCTAGGATATACCTACATAAATTGGTTTGTATTTTTTTTTAGTTGTATATATTTTTGCTATATTAAAAAGTACGCGAAATACAGCAGAAAATTCCAGAAAGTCGTTTGCGTTGGTACGAGCACGTGATGAGCGGGAGAAAAGATCATACGACATCATGTAACGAGTCAAGTAGTGAGCGTTGCCAAAGGTAAAAAAGCAGATGACGTCCACCGACCACCTGGGCTCGAACTATACAACAGGATCTACTGGCTATGGGCTTAACACCTGAGATGACGCAAAATCGTCAAGAATGGCGTAAAAGTATCAGGAGGGCTAATACCAGATAGGGTAATAGCCAGGGGATTGATTTTAATGATTTATTTTTTCAATAGAATTTAGATACTAAAGACAATTATTTGCACATATCGCTGTACACGGCTGTATGTTTCTCCACGTATTTCTAAAACATGCGACAAATTTTTATAGGGTTTCGTTGTCATTCATATATACATCCTAATTTTTACTCGCGCAAAACAATAGCGGGATGCTAGTTAAATACAATTAATCAATTAATTATACTGTATTGTAGATTACAATTTTAGTATTTATAATTTTAAATGACTTTCCATTAAAAAAAAAAAACTCAAGATTGTTTAAAAAATAAGACAAGAAAAAACAGAGTATAAAACTATAATGACAATCAGCACTTGTAATTATTTTACTATATAATAAAAATACCGAATCAGTAAAATATTTATTAAATAATAATCAATATGAGTTATTTTAGAATAATATTTAATAATATTATTAATATTTTAGAGCAATAATAATACGCGATACCGTTCGCATGGTATTTCGTGTTTATTTATTCATTTCAAGCACAATACAACACTAATACATGTATCTATTCATGCACAATATATAATATACTAATAGTTTAACTAAATTTACTATTAAACTACAAAGCAGACATAACTCACTCCGATAAATTTGTGTGACATAACCGTTTATAATCATAATTTAGTTATTTATTAACTATTTCTTATTAGCTTTACCTATTTTCTCATAAAGTCAAAAGTATGTATGTATTTTATTAATACATTTTTTTTTTATTTTGAATATGTAATTATAATAAATGAGAATTTAATAATAATGATATACATCTTTGAATTTAAATTTAATACTAACATTTATTAATACATTAAAAATGATAAATATATATTAACTCATCCAAATTACCAAATTTTTATCTTCATATATGATTGACACTTCACACATATTCTCATATTTGACAGTATTCGAGATCAGTGTTTCTCAAAGTGTAGGGGGTCATTCCTTCACGGGGATCACGATATATTTTACAATAATTATTTACAACCGCGATATCAACAATTTAAAAAAGGTACATTAATCCAATTTTATGTAGCATTATAAGACTACGATAAAAAGTTATTATCAGCACAAAATAACGGAGCAAATTAAGCCAGTGCTTAGTAATGTGCATGAAACCTGAGCGATGGCCGTTTTCACCACAGTGATGGGTTGTGACGTGCTCACTAGCGTGGGCTGACTCACTATCACCCTCTGAGTGGACTGTATCACGCCCGAGTTCTGCGTGTGCAACATACGAATTTATTTTCCATACAATACTCGTAAATCTTAATATATGTTAACACAATACTATACGTATTAGATTGATGTAATTACTAGACAGAACTCATTATCACCTTTTATGTTTACTATACCACACTCTAGTTCTGCGTTTGAATATATGACTTTATTTTCTCAATAATAAATATGAATATTTGTTAACACAATGATAACAGATTGATGTAATCACTAGACACTAGACAGATATTTTTATTACCCTTTGAATTAACTCTATCAAGAATTTTGATCCAATAATGACAAACTGTGTTAAGATTTACTATCAACCTATGTTATACCTAGAATGGTGAATGAATCTATAGATACGTTTTCGATACCGCACGCATGAAATAAACATATTACAGAATATTGCTGTCTCATTATATGTCATGAATACGGTAGCGAACACATCCCTTAATATATTCCTTTACCGTTTGCTTAAGGGAGCTCTGAATCGGCATCTATATATTACAAAAAACCTTATATTTAAATAATTAAAAAAATAACATGTTAATTAACTACTCAATTATGGAAATATTACAGGCATTCCCCCAATATTTTCATAATATTATTCTGATTATTTGCATAATCTAATAAAAAATAAATATAAATAGTGTGTGATGAACATTAGTGAAGCATTAGGAAAGAAACCTAGCAAAATAAGATGAACAATGGTTTTTAGCGGGGATCAAATATGATAAATCACAACATGAAATTGAATAGGACAATGTGCAAGCGATTAGAAGCTTAAAATCAATATAATATCCCTACTAACCCACATTAGTTACGTATTGAATATGTTTGTTAAATATACTGACATCACTTCTAATAAAATAATGAAATACGACTGAGTATTCAAATAAATTTCAAATATAAATGTTGCTATAACGAGTATAACTGGTTTCAAATAGCATCAATTATGCCACGTTTGCACCAATTCCAAGCCATAATAATAGACCTATACATAACACAAAGCCTGTACTGTTGTTACTGTACAACTGACATATTTATTTTTTAAAATGCCGATTCGTATCCGGCTCGAAGGACCACACAACCGCATGTAGAAGTAAAATGATATTCTATCACTTCAAACTAATTACTTTATTCCTTATTTGTTTATTTACACGGCCAGTACAAAATGAAAAATGGAAGAGAGAAAAATATTGCAAGCACATAAATAAAAAATCGCTATCTTCAGTACGAGGTCTGTCCGGAAAGTTCGTATAAAAGTGTTCTGGAATGCGAGAAAGAGGAGTGGGGAGGCCAGGTAAGCGCAGGACCCCTTCCTTATGTCCCTAACAATGCTTCAGTTCTGGTCTGACCGCCGTGCGGTGCGAACTGACTTGTCACGCCATCTGTGAAGTTACCTCTTAACGAAACTCCGTCGGCATGGAGCCCGCTTCCGTTGAAGAGCAGCGCGTCGTAATCAAGTTTCTCTCGAAACTCGGCAAGAACAGTTGATGGAAAATTCTACGTCGATGTGCTCAGACGCCTCAAAGCTCGTGTGGCACGAGTTCGTCCAGAATTGGCGCGAGAGGGGCGTTGGATTCTTCACCACGACAATGCCCCTGCCCACACCTCTCTTGTTGTCCGTGAGTTTTTGAGTAAAAATTCCATTACGGTGACCGAACACCCCCCCTATTCGCCGGATTTGGCCCCGTGTGACTTCTTCTTGTTCCCAAAAACCAAATTGGTACTTCGGGGGCGGCATTTGGGGGACATAAATGAGATAAAAAAAGCTACGACGGGGCAGCTGAGAAACCTACAACCAGAGGACTTTCAAGGAGCCTTCTCACAGTGGAAACGGCGTTGGCACAAGTGCATTATGTCACAGGGGGAGTACTTTGAAGGGGATAAAATTGATTTACCTGAATAATTGTAAAATAAAATTTTTAAAAAACTTTTATACGTACTTTCCGGACAAACCTCGTATATAAAAATCTTAAACAATATGATGTGATTATTTATCACTTAATGTTTGATAAGCGCTCAAACCCAAACAGAGATACAAATCCATGAATATAAAATACTTGTATAATGTGCAATCGAATCCACATCTATCGAAAGGTAAACAGCTAAAGTTATGTATAAATTTTATATATCGTCATAGTCGTAGAATACTGACGGATCTTTATATGTAATATTTGTCAGATCCGTCAGTATTCTACGACTATGACGATATATTTATAATATTATTTAGTACGATATTTATTATTATGTCAGTTTATATAATTTTTTTTGTGTAATGTATATTCGCAATCACTGCTGCCAAATGCTTTCTGTTTTTACCCAATAGTTAACTGGTAGTGAATGCCATACAGCATTAACCTCACCATTTGTATAAATTTTATTGTGCAATAAAGAATAAATAAAGCACTAAGGTCATTGCTGGTGCAAACTAGGCTTATTCTAATTAAAAGTGCATTTCTGAAAGTGACTCATATAAAATCTAATCTGTAACTCAACTGAAAATCCCGGTGTAAAAAAAAAAGCTGTAAATAAACAGTTAATAGATAGATGAATAGCATTAGAGATGAGATAACTCAAAATATTAGTGGAACAAAGCGTGAGAGGGACAAACATTTATTGTTTGTAACCTGAATGATTTGCTGTTGCGTTATAGCCTCTGTTGCTTGGGTAATAAGGCTGTTCAACGTAGCCTCGTCCAGCCCGCCGGGGTTGTTCACCTTCAGTGTGCAAACTTCTTAGTAAATCTTACAATATACTTACAATAATGTAAATAAACTATACTTATAACAAAATATACTCCCTTAATTAAAGTAATATACTAATAATTCGTAATTTATCATACATATCTCGAGCTGACGCCATCTTCATGAATATAAATAATAGATATTTTTAACAAATGAGAAATACAAATAATGAATTTATGTTTCACTCAATTAAACGTATATAATTATGTGATATAATAATATAGTAAAATTAAAAAAGAATAATGTAAAAAAAACGTTGAAACAGTTTTGAAACGGTCAATTATAATACGCATATAATACTTTGCGAATCGCCGACTTAAAATACATACCCAATTTATCAATTAATTTTGATATACATCCTATATTTATAGGATAAGACCTACTTATGAACACTATAATATTTTACCAACATTATTAAGTTTCACGTCTTACGACAATAAGCTATATTGATTTAAATTTAGACAACTACTATTTTACTTTCTGGCAATTACTAGACAGTAAAAAAATATTACAAACACACTGAAATTTAGTAACATTGTAAAGATTTGAAATATAAATGTGAATAGGTTAGTATTTACAACATTAAAAAAAAACACGCTATAAAAAAACTTACGGTTAGAGTAAGCGGCCCCCCTCCGGTTGGCCCTTGGACTATAATGATCGTTTTCTGCATCATATTGCCCGGTAAATTCTGTGCTATATAACTCAGACCTCCTAAAACAAACGTTGGATAATAAATAAAAATTTACACTTTAAAATATTTCCTTTTTAACCAACTTCAAATAGGTTAAGACTGATGTGAAATCATAAAACAGTAAGTGAAATAGTTGTACATCAAATATAAATGACTATTGTTGTACGGCAGTATTAACAGTAACGGAGACTATTGCTAGCAATACACCTTATTAACAAAAATAATTAATAAATTTGCATACCTCTGCGGGGTGCTGCATGTTATGTGCCTGTATATGTATGTAACGTCTTATTGTATCATGTAGCAAGCGAATAAATATGATTTGATTTGATTTAAAATATTTAATTATAAAATATAATTATTTTTAATTATAAAAATAATTCATTAATTTAATAATAATAATAACAATTGGACCATCAGCTTACTTGCTATTCTAAGTTACATAAAAAAAAACAGTTCTTTTGCTAACAATACACGACAGGTCGACCTTCACACGGTCCCCCTGAAAACCATCGTAGTTAATTCCTATTGAATTTGTCACAATGGGGCAACTGACATCACTTCATCATCATCTATAAATCCTTCACCAATAACCCACCAGCGTAAACCAATAGCGCAGACGAAGTGAACATTTCATTCATCATTATCATCATAGCCGCTAACTGTCCACTGCTGAACATAAGGCCTTAGGGGGGTTTTGCCAATAGTTGCCACACTCGGTAGGGGAATTGGCAACCGAAGTCACGTTTTAAAGATGTTCATAGACGGACGCTGCTACCCACCCCTCACCCTTCCTTAGTCGGCTCTAACGACACCCACGAGGAAGGAAGGGGTGGCCTATTCCATGCCGGGACCATACGGCCAATCAGCATTCCATTGTCATCCATGAAAGGGGCCTTACCTTGAGAAGTACTCGGTGTCGCAATTATCTGCATGGGTTGTTGGACAAACTGCGTCGGTTGTGATGCAATAGTCTTCTCTGTTGATCAATAATAACAGCATTTTTTTTAATCACTACATAGTATAAAACAAAATCGCTGTCGCTGTCTGTCTGTCCCTATGTATGCTTAAATCTTTAAAACTACGCAACGGATTTTGAAGCGATTTTTATTTTTTTTTTTAATAGATAGAGTTGTTCAAGAGGTTGAATAAGAGAGAGTTGAATATCCAACCTTAACACATAGGATATTTTATGTACTGATTCATAAGATCAAAGCCGCGGAATACAGCTAGTATTATATTAGTTTTATTACCTTGCAAAATTATTTGCCCAGACTGTGATGCGATGATATTTTGAACATCCATAGGCTGCACTTGCAACATCGGTTGCTGCACTTGCAAAGTTGGCTGTTGCACCTTTAATAATTTAATTTCAATTAATGTTTTTTTTTTTTTGCAATCAATTGGCAAAAGATATATTTTTATAAAAAAAAGATTAATTTTTTATGCAACTTAGTATGGCAAACAAGCTGACGGCCCACCTGATGAAAAGTGGTAACCATCGCCTATAGACATGAGCAGTACCATGGACATAACAGGGTTTACTGTTTCGCCCATGATACCCCCCATGCGTTGCCATTCCTGAGGACTCAGGTGTTATTCCTCTGTACCCTGTAAATTCACTGCCATATCCCACCCTTCAAACCCAAACAGCCATGCAAACACAACCGCTTGACGATAAAAACACGAACGGGACAGAGGTGCCCAAGCAAACGACTTTTGTACAAAGTCTCCCTCTAAATATAACATCTCAGTATTCAGGAATGGTAAAGCATAAGGTACCGTGACCGTCACAGCGTACGGAGAGCTGTTTAAACAATTCTCGATCTAATAAAATTTTTAAAATTTTATAAATATATATATTTTTTACAATATATAAATTTTTCAAACTAAAGTATAAACTTAAACTAATAAATAAAATTTGAATACATTTTTTTATACAACTTAGAATGGCAAACAAGCTGACGGCCCACCTGATGGAAAGTGGTAACCGTCGCCTATAGACATGAGCAGTATAATGGACATAACGCAACAGTTATTACGTCCCATCAGGTAGGCTTGCTAGCTTATTTGCTTTCTAAGTCTCATAAATAAAATAAAATAAAAAATGGTTCAATATAAAAAAATTGCAAGTTATGTACCTGTAACGCAGAAGACTGCACTTGCAATGTTGGTTGTTGAACTTGCAAAGTTGGTTGTTGTACCTGCAAAGTAGGATTATGCATTTGCATTATGGATTGTTGTATTTCTGTCTCGGTTTCTCTCTCTCTCACACATACACACACACTCTTTTCGCTCTCTACCTCTCTTTCTCCCTCTGTCTTTCACTGCTACCAAGTTTTTGTGTCGATTATTTCATTATACGAAATGCAACCTTATATTCAAGAACCTAAAGCCCATTTTCAAATAATAAAACCTTCTGTCGGCACTGCCCTTATCTTTGTGATCAGTCTTATATTACTTTCTAAATTTACAATGAATATATAACACATAACAATTATAAATGTCCCACTGTTGATCTCAGAACCCTTTCCCCATAAAAGAAAAATATTGGTGTACTAATATACCATGCCGGGGGAAGAGACTGTTAGTAATGGGGTCTAACTGACCCATTGCCAGCAATACACCCTATCAGGTCAACCTCCACGTGATTCCCCCTGGAAACCATTATGGTTAATTCTAGTGGAATTCGTCACGATAGGCTAACTGACCTAATCGTCACCTATCGTCCCTCACTGGTGCCCCGCCAGCGTATACCAATAGCGCAGGCGAAGCTACCATTCCATTATCCCGCATTAAAAAAAATATACCATGCCATATAGAGTTATAGGATTTTGTACTATATTAAAATTTAATTACCTGCAAAATAGGCTCTTGTATGATAACCGACGCGTTGTCCCCAGCCCCAGTAACCAGTACTGATGGTTGTATCACTTCTACTGGCTCTTGTTTTGGGGGCATCTAACATGAAACAATATCTTTTATTATAATCCTACAAATTTGGTGTACGGGTAGATTGTATTCTAATTTAAAGTATACTTTAAATATAAAGAAAAGTGTATAATAATTCCATTTTTTTTTATACAACTTAGAATGGCAAACAAGCTGACGGTCCACCTGATGGAAAGTGGTAACCGTCGCCTATAGACATGAGCAGTACCATGGACATAACAGAGTATATTGTTTCGCCCATGATACCCCCATGCGTTGCCATTCCTGAGGACTCAGGTATTATTCCTCTGTACCCAGTAAATTCACGCCATATCCCACCCTTCAAACCGAAACACAGCCATGCAAACACAACTGCTTCACGGTTGAAACGCGAATGGAACAGAGGTACCCAAGCAATTAACTTTTGTACAAAGTCTCCCTCTGATTCATTTATAATATTTACACAGACAAAGCTGCTGTATATAAGTAGTATAAACATATTTCAATACTTTCATACTAATTGGGTCACGTAACTATGTGCAGTTTGTATTGAATTTATAAATATATAAATCGTTATGTTTTTTTTTAAAAACGTGCTTCCACCTATGGCTTACAGAATACTATCCCAGCTATCCCAGAGTTATTAGTTAAAGTTTGTATTGGTACATCTTTTACAAAAAAATCAATAAACAATAAATAAATATCACTGGACTGGACATTTTTGTAAATCCTCACACTCGGAATAATACAAACTAAAAATATATATAACAACAAAATTCTAAAACGTTACACAAAATCTAACTACTTGAACATAAATAAACTCGTTAAGGTTTAATTTCGTATATACTGTGCACCTTAGCACGTAGAGCTGACGCTAGCAACATCCCAGGAGGCCGCTACGCGAATATCACCAATATGTGTACAGACATGGAAGAAATTTTTCACTCCGCTAAGTTAAAATTTATTTACAGGATAAAAAAAATAATTATTCACACATTTAATTACTAGCATTCATGTTCGCCGTGTGGTCCCGGTATAGAATGGCCCACTCCTTCCTTTCCCGTGGGTGCCGTAAGAGGCGACTAAGGGAACAAAATGGTCGAGGGACGGGTAGGAGCGTCCCTGCTAAAACATCGCCAAACCAAACTGCGGCTATTAACCCGCCTGCCAAGCGTGGCAACTACTGGTAAATAGAGGGGGGAAAGGGATTGTTAGTAATGGAGTCTAAGAATCTCATTGCTAGCAATATACCCAGCCAGGTCGACCTCCACGCGGTTCCCCCTGGAAACTATCATGTTTTAGTCCTGATGATCATGTCATCATGATGGGCTAACTGGCCTGTTTTCATCGTCACCTATCATCCCTCACTGGAGCCCAGCCAGCGTATCCCGTTAGCGCAGGCGGTTTTATCATTCCATTTTCATCCAATAAAAAAAAATACTGGTAAACAGAGAGAGACCTATGTTTAGCAATGGACAATTGACGTTTAATATGATGACGAAGATTCATATAAATATCGCTTTTAATCAATCATTTCATCATTCCTTCATCATTCATGAAAGTTAATTTTTATACTCAATTTTGAAATAAGAAACTCAATAAAAATATTTACTTGAGAAAAATATTTATTACTGAGCTAAAACTCAAAATAGATAAATACTACATCAATTATATAAAATCTAATATTTTTAAAATTAAAACTGAGGTCAATTTTGTGTCCACAATTTGTAATTTATTTATATAGAAATAAAATCTAGAATATACTTAATATAAATAATATATGTCTTACCAAATCCTCTTCATCTTCAAGCGCTGAAGCCGCTAACGCAGCGTACAAATTAGCTGCAGTTTTCGATACGCTCTCCTGCGGTGAACTTGTCTAAAAGCATAATTAAGATATCGACTTAATTATAAATATATTTAAGACTCATTTTTGAGCAACAATAATAACTTTTCTTGTTTATATCACTCAATATAGAGAGATATATACATATATATATATATATATATATATATATATATATATATATATATATATATATATATATAGAGAGAGAGAGAGTATAAGGCCAATGTTTACCTTCCTATCTAAAATTCACCTACACTCTAACAAAGTAAATTAATTTCTTTTACGTCACACAATCACATAGCAATATGAAATACTATAGAATAAAAAATAAAGAAATTTACCTCTCTCTTTTCCTCGAACCTCGGTTTCTTACTGGGCGGTTCTGTGTACGAATGATCAGTCACCACTGTCTCAACAATCTGATCTTTCTCACTCTTTATACTTTGCACTACGCCCTGTTGTATTATCTGACTTTGTACAATATTACCCTCGTTCTTTATTTGAACGATCTGACCTTGTTCATTCTTGAATTGCATCACCGGTGCTTGTATCTGATCGCTTTTCAACTGAATAATCTGACCTTGGTCGTTCTTTATTTGAATTATCTGACCTTGTTCGTTCTTTATTTGAAAATACTGGCCAGTTTGAGACACTAGAGATGGATCAGCGTTAATTTGTATGACAGGATTAGAATCTGGTTTGACTTGAACGATTTGACCCGTCTCAGTGATTTGAATTGTCGGCGCGTTGATTTGAGGCGTCATTTGTACTACCTGTACTGGGGGATTAGATTTTTTCTCCAATAAATCAGCGAGCATTTTATTCTGTGCTGTTTTCTGTAAAAACAAACGTTAAGCAATTCATATAAAGTATTATTATCTTATTTATAGAATTACATTTATATAGTGTATATATAATGGTATATAAGTATATACAATAAATAGGGATATATATTTACATTATTACATGTATCACATCTCTATATTTTAGAAATAATAGAGTTTCTTCGTGCCTCCAATCAAACTGTTTATAATTACTCCTCTCCATCCAAAGTTTGCCTGGAAGAGATCTCTTTTAGCGATAAGGTCGCCCATTGTTATCTCATTGTGATTATTTCTTGTAATTGTTTATATTTATAATAAGTTTACTATTGTGATCTTTTGAAGGAAACAATAAAGAGTATCTATCTATCTACATTATATAAAATACTCGATTCTAGACGGACGCCTACAAGGAAAGTGTACATACATATCTAACGCGCCTGTCTCCCATTAGGGTAGGCAGAAACAATGGAACGTCAAATGCTTCGATTCAAACAAACCTCTTTCGCTTCTTCCACATTCATCAATCTTTTCATACACGCTCGCCGGTTACGGGTACTTTTAATTTGGCCCTTCTTCAGCACGTCGCCTATTTGGTCGACATACGTCCGCCAAGGGCGGCCACTACCGACATCTCCATTCATTCTTGCTCGATAAATCTCTTTCGTAATTCTAAGGAAAGTGTAGTGTAAAGATAAACAGAAAATAGGGTAACAACCCTAAAGATGCATGAATTAAAAAAGGCTACGTAACCGCAGGTAACGTAACCATACTTCCTGTGATCATTGTATATAATCATCAACATCATGTCAACCTTTGACTGGTCAATACTGAACATAAGCCACCCCTTTGGGGGTATTTACCAATAGTTGCCATGCTGGGCAGCCGGATTAGCAACCGCAGTTAGGCTTTACAGATGTTTTAAGAGAGACGCTGCTGCCCATCCTTCGCCCTCCATAATCGCCTCATACGACACCCACTAGAAAGGAAGGGGTGGCCTAACCTATACCAGGATCATAGGGCCACTTTAGATATGAAATATATATCTCCGAATTTATTAATCACAAACCACGAGATTACTATTTATATATTATATATAATATTTCAATAATTATATAATTTAATAGTTGTAGCACTTCAGCTACTCGCTAACAACATGTTTTCCAATGTAATGTAAACTGCATTGCATATGTAATCTAAACTGCATTGGGTTGACTGGAAGAGATTTCTGTGAGATATAAGTCCACCCTTGCTCACAATATTTATAAATGCATTAACAATGTAATTTATAATACAATATGTTATATTAATATTGTATCTAAATTCGTACTTACAATAGTTAATTGCGACTGCTCGTCTATTTGGATCTGTACCGGTTCCTCTTTGACTGAAACTAATAATACAGAATAAAATATCAGATTTCAAACCAAATGTCATATGTAAATATTACACATTTCATGAAAATTGGTTGAGACGAAGGCGCTAAGATGTAGCAAACAAGCTCAGTTTATATATATTATATACTTATTACTGTATATAACAGTAAACATAGAAAACAGTAAACATGGCGAAACAGTATACTCTGTTATGTCCATGGTACTGCTCATGTCTATAGGCGACGGTTACCACTTTACATCAGGTGGGCCGTCAGCTTGTTTGCCATTCTTACTTGTATAAAAAAAAAGACTTACCTGCTTCTTCCGGTGTCGTGATAATAACCTGAAAACATAATTATTAAATTGTAAAACACCTAACTTTTATATTTTAAAGTTGTCCAAGTCATCAATCACGATCATATCAGCCGTTGACTGTCCACTGGTAACAACAGACCTCCCCCTGTTGGAGGGTTTTGTCAGTGGTTGCCATGCTTGGCAAGCGAGTTAGAAACTATAGTTAGCCTTTGGTGATATTTTAGAAAAGATATTACTACCCATCCCTTGACCACGACTAAGTCAATTACATAAAAACATAAATTTATTTATTTAATATTCTTTATTAACATCATTTTACAAAAATATATGGTGCAAACTGCTACGTAACATTGTTTCCTAGTTAACCATTTAGTAAACAGAAATGTAATACAAACATTATTTTCAATTTACGCTAATGTCCTATGAAAGGGGGGAAAGGGATTGTTATTAATGGAGACTGAGAATCCCATTGCTAGCAATATACCCAACCAGGTCGACATCCTCGCGGTTCTCCCTGGAAATTATCATGGTTAATTCCTGATGAATTCATCATGATGGGCTAACTGACCTGTTTTCATTCTCATCTGTCACCCTTCACTGGTGCTCCGCCAGCGTATCCCGTTAGCGCAGGCGGGGTTACCATACCATTTTCACACATCAAAAAAAATGTCCTATGAAAAATTGTTCATTTATATGTTATAAATAAAATCCCTGTATTTAAAAAAAAATTACGATAATTTAGAAAATTACCTTTTCACCGACTGGTGTGCTGCTGGCAACACCGCCAGGCGTTATGGTTGTACATTTGATGAGAGCCTCCGGATCTACATCCATCACCTGCATAAAAAATTATCAGTTACCATAATAATACAAATAATGTTAGTAATAATAATAAAAATATAAACAGTTTATCAAATTCGAAATTCATATATCAAATTCGAATTGAAATCGAAATTTGAAAATTTTATAAAAATTTCAAAATTCGATTTCAGATGTCATAGAACTCATATGATCACTATTATATTAACCATTGAATGTACAGTGCGTTGCTCCTAAGCCTATTGATGGGGGGCAAGCTACACAACTCGAAAGTCTAATCTGATAATCTCATCATCAGATCTTGACCTCAAATATCATTTAATATATTTGATAGTATCATAAAATTTATAATAATTTCTCCATATAAATTTTTCACTGATATTTCCATAGAAACTGAATAATAATAATAAAGAATTTCTCATAGATTCCATCATCAGACTACTGGGGGCCTACCATGAAATGAAATTCCGAATTTTCGGGCTCAATCTCGTGTTTTTGTTCGTACCATCATGAATCCTATCCTAATAGTCCAGAGGAACGTTATTTTAATATTTTTAATAATTTTAAACGGCATGTATTATGTAATTTTAACATCAAATTTCTATTTCGTTCGACCCCGAAATTTCGGATAATATTTTATGGTAGGCCCTCTGCTTTAACGCGTTAACACGTTTTACAACAACATTGAAAACGTACACTTATAAGCAATGTTTAGAATACAATATGTGTTTGGGCGAGGTACGGGCCTCGGGGCGTACCCCTTTGCCCCGGCTTCAACTCCGGAGGCAACAACCTCCGGGTCACTTAGTTTTAAGCCGACATACACGGATGGTCTGTGTATGCCGACGTGGCGTCTTCCAACGTTTTACAAACCTGGTTAGGCTGCACGACGACAGAGGGCGTTGATGGCGGTCTCTGCTGGTTTTGTTGTCTTTGAGCAACCTACAGGATAATTTCAAATATACAGATTATAAAATCACTTTAATATTTATTTATAAAACGATGCTGACAATTTTCGATAATTTAAATAAGACGCTTTTTTATTTACTTTTTAATTTTACTATATTTTTTTTTTCTTACAGTTTTGATCTCTAGTATAATTACGGATAGTTCGTTCTGTAGTATAGATATCCTATATCCAATTACAAATCTAAAACTCAATAACAAAAATAATCTTTTTATTTTTATATTAGATAAAAATTTATAAATTAATAAAAAAATCCGTTAAATAAACAATAAACAAATTCAAATTAAGAACGCGATGTCAAAATAGATCGTCGGGTAAGTTTCAAATCAAATCAATTCGTTTACTCGCATGCTTATCAAGCGTCGCCGCTAACATGCCATAAAACTGTTATTGTTAGTCTAATATATAACTCGACATGCCTATATACATTGCTTATCACTATCTACTTTCACGATGGTCCCGCATATTGGCATTAATGTTGACTAAAAAGATTGCACAGTTTAAGGTACTAAGAAAACAATGTTCCAAATTTAAAAGGTACGGTTGCGTACATTTGAATTTGGGATCTACAATCTGGATCAATAGTTGCAACTTAATCCAAAAAATTGTATTGTTAAATTTTATATTTACAACTGCGAAATTCGCAGTTTGGATACTGAACGGTTAACACTAAGCTCCAAGCAACGATCTAATCGCAAAAAATGCGTGAACAAAATGGCAGTCGGAGATCGATATGGAAGTTTGTGAAAATTCTGGTATTAAGTGGTGGTCAATCTTCGAATGTTGACAGTCACACACATACATACTAATAGTAACGGAAGTATATAAAATAATTTTAGTTAAATAATTATTAGTTAAATAATCATAAGTACTATGAATTTGTCCGTTATTTCAAAACTGAACGATACATTTAAAAAAATTGTTTATTCAAGTAAAACTAAAATTTAGGCACATTTGAATAGTCGATATGGTTCTAACCTTATGAAAACGATCAAGAAACTCAGCTGTTGCTTTAAAGAGTTAATTTACAATTTGATATTAAAGTAACAAACAAAAATAATTCTGCAAAAACAGTATCATTTCAATAATCTGAAAACTATACTATATATAATCATATACGGCAGTAGCGTCAATTATGAACGAAATGTCACTCTCTCTCTAATTATAAACAAGTCAAATAATGCTAATATGTTGAACAAACGCAATAAAACCATCAAAAACACATGCACGCGTCTCTTGTGTATATTATTTGCAGACATTTTCGATATCACATTAAAAAAAAAAACTATATTTATAGTCATGCAAATAAAATTAATGGTTTCGAAACCTTTTTGGAATACCTTCATAATCGCCTTTGTTACACACTAATCAAATCTATAACAGTTCGAATAAAATAAAAATAAAAACGGAAATATTTCACACACTACAGTATAACTAAAATGTATTTGATTACTTATTGAACTACAATTTATAAGTTTCAAACCTCGATAACTTTCACCATTACAATTGTTGTAATAAGTTCTAAGTTTTTTTCTATCTATCAATAAGCGATAGTAAACCTTATGTATCGTAAAAAAAAAACTTAAAATATAATCAAGTGACACATATATTTTTTTCGTTATTTAAACTTTAATGCATAGTGGAACTACATACATATGGCGGACTTAACACTGAACGGTGTTCTCTACCAGTCAACTGAATTGAGAATTTTTTTATTTAAAACATCAATATTAAACACGTACTACAAACATAAAACCAAAATGAATATATATATATATCAATCCAGTCTAAATTTGAACATGAAGATTTTGTTGGAAAAATACGTCTAAATAATAAGGCACCAGATGTCGCGGTCGGTCCATAAAACATCGGGCAAACCTGACCCCGGGATTAAAGTAAAGCCGACGGTTTTATAATTGCGCAAATAATTGGACAAGGGGATAAACATAATTCTAATTAGTATATTATATATATATATATATATATATATATATATATATATATATATATATATATATATATATATGTAATTAAACAATTCATCGTCCAGTAATGCAGTGGATTCTTTTTTTATTATTCAAAGGGTTTACTTTCCCACATATATGAAAATAATTCGTAATATTTAAAAATCGATGATTTTGTATAATAAATATGGTTGTACTTTAGACAGGGAAAAGTTATCGAGATTATTAGATGACAACTCTTTCTACACCATACTGCAATCGTAGCCATACATTCCCTTTATTATATTAACTTTTTTATTGCATAGCGTAATTGTGTATCAATAAAAAAAAAAATATATAATTAATTTTTAAAATATTTTACATTTAGTTACTGGAAGGAAGAGTTATAATATGAAATATTATAGACACAACATATACACTATGCAATTGAAATGGAGAATTCATACTGAATTCAATAAAAAAAATGTCTCCCCCATATTTACTCTGTTAAAGTTTAAAAGAATAAGTACATCACACAGAAACCCACTAATAATATTCTCAACAAACAAAAAATACTACTTAAATAAATTTTAAATACTATATGTATATAGCATCGTTATAAACAATCCCTTCATGACTAGTGACAACAACCAGCCCTACATTACCTTCACCAAAATCCAGAAGCACATAACGTGTCGACAACCCTACAATCTATATATCTATATAGTGATTATATCTTGTAGAAATCGTCATGACGGGTCAACAGGTCTGACTTCATCCTCACCTGGTATACCGATAGCGCAAGAGTTTTCACCCCATTAATCGTACCATTCACCCCATTAAAAACCAATTCTGTTTTACCAAAAACCACAGAACAAATTGACAACCCTACAATACCCGTGTATGGCTACGAGCGCGCACGCACACAAGACAAGTTAGTACTGTTAGTATGCACTTACTTGATGCTGTTGTTGTGCGGGGCTTACTTTGTGGGCGAGTAGGTGCTTTATGAGGGTCGTGTTGGACGGACTCGACTCGAGGGCTTGGGAGAGGTGCGGGTGGGAGACCACCGGCTGCTGTGGTTGGGGCTGTTCAATTCATTATTGAATATTCATTATTATTATACACTAGCTATTTGCCCGTATTTGTCGTACGCATAGATTTCAGTAGGAAAACCAATAAAATAGATTACTTCTAGATGGCTTGATACGCCATTGAAACACACACCAGATTTTCAGTTAAACCTTCAACGACACAACTGTGAAAACTGCATTCATTTTGGTGCAGGATTTTTTACCGGAATGAACATATAAACAGACAGACAAAAATTTTGAAAATCTTTTAGCTTCTATTGCTCCTATTAAAACCCCTCACATTTTTCTTACATATCTCCTATGTACAAACAACGTCCAGTTACAATTTTATTATATTAGTAAGATTTTAAGTGCGACCGAAACAACCAAATAACCAAACATCTAGATCACAGGAGACTGTACTGAAGTCGTCTACTTGAATACCTCTGTCTCATTCGCGTCTCTGAAACTAGGCAACAATGCTTGCATAGCTGTATTTCGGTTTTGAAGAGTAAGATGTGGTAATAAAATTTCAGGTTATAGTCCTCAGGCCCTCTAGACAAATGGCAAGCGAATTCGTCAATCGTCCGCAAGATAGAACGAGATAGCAATGCCGGATGTCTTATTCCAATTCACGGACTCGCTAGCGATGTCGGTTCCATCGACGAATTTGCTTGTCCCTTGTCTAGAGGGCCTGGTCCTCTAGAAAAGTAGCAAATCCATGAGTTGGAATGAGAGATTTAGTGTTGCTATGTCATTCTATCTCACGAAATCGCTAGCGAAGTCGATTCCATCGACGAATTCGCTTGCCACTTGTCTAGAGGGCCAATAGTGATAACGCTTGTAGAATACCATAGAGGTATTAACAATGTATTCTGTAATATTCATAATGCTTTTCACGTACGTAGTTCACCATTTTCCATCCGACTATAAGCTTATTTGTCACTGTAAGGTTAATATAAAAAAATATCCAAATATCTTTAGAAAATATCACATGTATAATGTTAGTATGATTATTGACTAACACTGCTTATGTAAGTACATTTTAGGTGACAAATTACCTGCGATTGTGTTACTACTGGTTTAGCTTCTGCTGGTTTATTCGTCAATTGTGCTTTCAGTATTGGAGACGAGGGTCCTATAAAAAAAAAAAAAACTATATATTAAGCTATCTGTGAAGGTAACAATCGATGGGACAAATAACAGATTCCCATAATATACTTATTTATCATTCACTTTCATTCTCTAAAGGGAACAATAATTAGTTCATTCATTCATTCATCGTAATTTCAGCCGTTAACTGTCCACTGCTGGAAATAAGCCTTCCTTATAAAGCGAGTTTTGCCATTAGTTGCTACGCTTGGCAAGCGGGTTAGCAACAACAGTTAAGCTTTTAGTGATGTTTTAAGAGGGACGCTGCAGTCCACCCTGCAACCATAGCTCCCTTATTCGCCTCTTACGACACTAACGGGAAAAGAATGGCTGGCCTATTCTACACCAGGATCTACACGGCTAATTTTATTTTATTGAAATACAAAATATGCTATGTATTATTAAAACAAAAAATAGGGGCCCTTACGAAAATTACAATAATGTAAATCAAGGCACAAAAAATTGCCTAGTAAAGATAGATAGATAGATAAATTATTTATTTACCATTACAAGCAAATAATTAATGAATTTATATGCAAAACAAAAAAATTATAGGTGGTTTTATGTGCCTCTACGGTGAAAAGGCAACTAACTCGGCATTAAGCTGCGGTGCCCTTAGCGTCGATTTTCTGCTGGTACTTTTTAAAAAGAATGAAAAATAAAAGTATTAAAGCTAAAATAAATACTAACACCTTTCTATCTATCTACTCATGCGACGCCAAAGCGGATCGCTAGTCATAATTAATTTCAGAACTAATATTTTGGTTTTTTTTCTAACCTGCAGGTGGATTAGGTCTGCTCTGTACATTTCTTGCGCGTATACCAATGTACACCTGCTGGGTCTCGCCGCTTGGTAACGTGACAGTGTTGGGACCCACTGTACCACCGAATACCGTCCTGTAACAATAATTATAAAAGTAGTAAAGCAAAATGGTATCTATCTAACTAACATACTATAATAAGATTGATCATATTCTAAAAATTTCCAGAATCGGCTTGTATGGTGAGGCGAGTTATGAAAGTAGATAATGAAATAAAGGTTTTGTATTTGTTTCTCTTTCAAACAAAAGTTGTAAATTTGTATAATTTTTTTTTTATACAACTTAGAATGGCAAACAAGCTGACGGCCCACCTGATGGAAAGTGGTAACCGTCGCCTATAGATATGAGCGGTACCATGGACGCCCATGATAACCCCCATGCGTTGCCATTCCTAAGGACTCAGATGTTATTCCTCTATACCCTGTAAATTCACGCCATATCCCACCCATTAAACCGAAACACAACTGCTTCACGATAGAAACACGAATTGGACAGAGGTACCCAAGCAATCGACTTTTGTACAAAGTCTCCCTCTGGTAAATATAGATAATGAAATAAAGGTTTTATATTTGTTTCTCTCTATCAACATTACAAAGGACTTGAAGTAAATAGAGAATACCATACTTTGCAACTTTCCTATAGGAAAATCATATAAATATAAATATTTAGTATAAATATATAAAAATTAGTAGAAATATAAATATTTAATATAATATTTTATACTATAGTATAAAAAACAAGATAACACCATTTTTAGACACTCGATTCTCTATTTAGACGCTCAATCAATATTTACCTAACGAGGCGTGGGAAGTGTGCAGGAGCGATGACCCCCTTGCGACCGAGCTTATTGCAGCACGCGAGGTACTGCCGGTAGAGGTCGCCAGCGTCGCTTGCGCTGTTATCGTTCGGAGGGAGTGGCTCGAACGTCGACCGCAACCAGGCTTGCGCGAAGTGCTCGTTCTCCTACGTGCAATGTAATAAAATAAAAAATATATTCTTTTTAAAATTTAATTCCATCGGAATTTCCATGATTTTGCCAACAAAAGAAACAATAAAAAAAACCTATTATATTGATTATATTTTTTATTCTGAATACAATTTCAACTACGAAGAGTATGAGTTGGAAACTCATCTATTACTTCTTTCAAACAAGTTGTAAATTTGTATAAAATTACGAACTACGAATCGGCTTTACGTTATATTAGACATTCAATTTAAAAAGTAAATAAGATTGTCCAGCATTTTACATTGTTATATGAGAAATAGCTGGCGTAAAGACTGCATATAGCTAATGTATGTAATTTCTAAATTTCTAAATCGATAAAATTGCCGTACTGGCCAGATACATGTGGGCAGCGGCCGGCAAAAGTTGTATGAAAATCCATATCTGTCGTGTTTTGCGGCCAGATAAATTACTACGTAAACTCATATCTGTCCTGTAATTTAAAAATGGAATGCCCTTTTACTTCGAAATATGGCTACCAAGGAGGTAACTAATAAAAGGTTTTATTTAAATTTCGAACTGACTTGCAAATAGAAAGCTGTTTATTGAAAAAAAAAACAAAGGAACATTATGGCGCATGAAAAATTATTATTGTTTGTTATTTGTCATTGAACTTAAAAAGTAAAATTGTATTTTTGATTTCCGCGCATTCTTTGAGAAAAGTACTATACAAGCCTTGGCCACAACTAGGCATTGTAAGACTCACGTATCACGTGTGCCTCGGCTACGCCACGGCTCACATTTGTACGTTCGTCCATCAATTCCTCAGTTGCTGGCCGCTGCAGTAATGTACTATACCTGCACAGTCCTCTGCTGTAAGTGCGACTGTTGTATGCTGGAGAGCGGCGGGGCGGCAGCGGGCGCGGGGGCAGCAGCCGCAGGGGCGGAGGTCGAGGCCGTCACTACAGCCGCCGGGGGCTCCGGTACCGGCTTCGGCGCTGTTTGCTATAATAGAGAGATAGATAATTTATTTACATTACTTACAGCATACAAATTACAATACAAACATACACAAAATACACAGTAAAAGAATGAAAAACAAATTAATTACAACCATTTACTTTAAAAACCCATGAGATGTTGATGATAATGAATGTTCGGTGCATAGATAATTGACACCAAACAATAACGTTAAACTCATCGAGTTATATCGATGCTTCTTTTCATTTAAGAGTTTGCTCTTGTCAGTGCAACTAATTCATGCATCTTCCTCCAGCCAGCTCTATTCCAGGCCATATCCTATATCGATGCGTTTGACCCAAAAACGACAGTGCCGTGTCCGTCACCGTAACGTGCATTCATTAAAATAACATTAAAAACATTTATTTAGCATTTAAGAACCTTATTATTTGAAATTCCCACCACCGGAACCCTACTTAACCCAACAATGAATAAATATAATGTACAAATGATTGAGGAACCTGGTGAACAGTGGGTGGCTGCCGGTCGGCGGGCTGGTCGCGGTCGCTGGCGGTGGTGGCGGTGGTGGCGGCGGGCGCGCTCACGGCCGCCAGCGCACTGGGGCCGCTCACCGTCTCCACCACGCGCATCAGAATACACGCCCGCGGACCGTAGCTCTGGGCCTGCACGCCAACCGGAATACACATTGCTATATATACTTTGCGATATCTATCGTGCTATTCGACAAACGCTATCACTTTCTATAAGGTAAGGTTTCTATTTTATTTTTAATATTACATCTGGAATCAACAGTTAATACCTATAATAATTAAAACATATTATATTTATACCATATATTAGCAAATTGCAGATTTTCAATTTTATATAGTAAACAATATTATACTTATTTTTGAGGGTAGATAATTGCAAAATAAATTCAATTATTACTCTAAATTTTATTAATTTTATTAATTTATTAAATACTTTAATAATTTATATACATACGAAATTGCGTCCTTTAACCTTTTCCCATCACTTACAATTAGCACAATAATTGATAATGCATGTAAGCATAGAAGCCATTGGCACTCAATTTTATCTACTTCCTCACAAAAAAATTGATATGAAAACAAATAATTGCTTGAAAATGAATGTATGTAAAATATTGTATCTATAAAATATTATATATAAGGGTCGGCGGCCCACCTCGACGGTGACGAGCGAGACGAGCGTGTGCACGAGGCCGGGCACGCGCGCCACGGCCTCGCCGGCGCGGTCGCCCAGCGACGTCAGCGCGTACACGCACTCCAGCGTGCACACCAGCACCATGATGTCCCGCAGCGACAGCAGCGCGCACACGTCCGCGTACACCTGCCACCACACCATAACTAAATATTTCAATATTCTCATATTTTTATAAACGAAAAAAAAAAAATATTTTTATTTTTTTTTTCGTTTATATAGTATTTTATTTTTTTATTACAGCACAACATGTGACCACACTAAGCGAACATAGAGACAGTATGGTACATGAATATGATCAATAACACACACTCTTACGTCTTTATAAATACAATTGTAACAAGACAATGTCTATACATGGAATACATTTAAAAAAAAAATTGCATGAGGACTCTTAGTAGAAGCAATAGAAGCCAATATATTAAATTTTAGAAATTTTGTCTGACTGTTTGTATATATGTTTGTTCAACCGCAAAAATATAAAAACCCCAAAAATTAATTGCGTTTTTCATATTTATGTCCCAGAATGTCTAAGTTAAAATCTGGTGTATGTTTTATCTTGATACGCCATACAAATTGTCAATTTAGTTTTTCTACTTTTAAAATTCACACGAACGAAGAAACAGGCAAAAAGTCTGTATAATATAAAAGAAGTTGTTAAATTGCAAAAAATAAAGCTGAGCTAACCTTGGCCTCTAAGGCCTTGAGCAGCGCGTCCTCGTTGGCCTCGTTCTGAGCGAGTTTGTTGAGCAGCTCGAGCGCCGCCAGCACGCGGGCGCGGTCGGCCGACACCAGCGCCGACTGTATCGTCGACAGCACGTGACGTGATATTAGGCACGTGGCTGGGTCCTGTTGGAATAAATAATCAATTTTCACACAAAAAGAAAATAAAAAATACATCGTAACCATTTTTATGAAATTTATAAATTAAATATAAACATTTGACAACTACTGCACTAAGACTGCAAAATTCTATACTATCTTTTCCATCTGCAGGAATCGTTTGACGCCAGGCAGAGTTATTCAACACAATGGCTGAGAAAAGGCTGCAAATGGGCTGAGTAATACATACCTTAATAATAAGTTCAGTTGACACATTGCCCAATGTATCAAGACCAGATTGTCGCAGCGACCCAACCCAGCAATTAGCGCACAACAGCAGGAACCTGGTGTAATAATAATACCATAATAAGCGCCACACGATCACGTCAATTACCTAGTCTTCAAACTAGAGGGGAAAGAGATTGTTAGTAATGGAGACTGAGAATCCCATTGCTAGCAATATACTCAACCAAGTAGTTGGATATATTGCTAGCAATGCTTGGTTAATTTCTGATGGATTCATCATGATCGGCTAACTGGCCTGTTTTTATTCTCACCTATCATCCCTCACTGGTACCCCGCCAGCGTATACTGTTAGCACAGGCAGGGTTGCCATTCCATTTTCACCCATTAAAAAAAGTCCTCAAACTATAATCTACTAAAAGAAAATCAACATCATCTTGCACTTATTTGTGAGGTGGGCATAATACATTCAATACCGCATACAAAATTCAAAGGCTATAAACGGCCACTAACCTGATAAGTGTAGTGTTCTTAGCTAAATACTGCACATTTTCCTCGTGAAACGACAGGGAACGGACTATGGAAGCAATTTGCAGTACCCTCTGTGTGTACACGCAAGACGCCCCACCAGGTAACTCCGGTGCGAACAGTTGGTTCTCATCTGACGGTTCCGTGACCCAGTCTTCCATCACCTCCTTTGTTGGGAAAAAATAAACATTATCGTAGACGTAGTCACTCTCAATAAAAAAATGGCCATTTCTGATCCGTTTTTTACTGAACGTGACTACGTCTATGCTATTTAGGTCCTAAAATGATTCGTATTTGCAATTTATTTGGATTTTTATTATTTTTGAAAAAAACAGGATCTATTATTATTTAATTTCTTATTATGTTAATTGTAGAATCAATAAAAGCTATTTATTCTATGAATTTTTGTAACAAAACCAGCAATTATATAAATTACAAACACAAATGGTTTTAAAATTCCATTACAAATGTCTAAAAGGAGCATGTTAGTCTGTTTATAAGCGCTAGACAAGAGCTGAGTGAACTACTCGTGTAAATAAACCCTTCATACCTCCTCAATGATTTTCTCAGTCCTTTCACCAATGTCCTCCACTTCGTCTTCCTGCATGAGACAGTCTGTGAGCGCATTATGGGCAGCTAAAGCCTGCACCATCAGCTCAGGCTGTTCCACGCCTGGCTGCATGAATTTAGTTTCATCCGCTAGCTCCTTGGCACCGCCGCCGCCAGCTCTCATGTTCCAGAAGTCATCTGGATAACGGCCACGAGCCTCGTAATACGAACGGCCGATTGTATCTCGAAGACTCGCTATTGAAATGTACGTATACATTTGTCAACAATTGTATATATAACGATTACTTGGCAACAAGAAAACGGTATCAAAAACATTATTTCATATAAAAAAAAATATTATTATAGAATAAAAAAATATATTAAAGTTCTCTAAAAAAGAATATACATACATATCTATCACGCCTGTCTCCCATTAATATAGGCAGAAACAATGGAACGTCAAATGCTTCAATTCAAGCAAACCTCTTTCGCTTCTTCCACATTCATCAATCTTTTCATACACACTCGCCGGCCAGCACGTCGCCCATTTGGTTGACATACATCCGTCTAGGGCGACCCCTACCGACATCTCCATTCATTCTTGCTCAATAAATCACTTTCGTTATTCTTCTTTTATCCATCCTCGACAACCTATATAACCTGAATATCCAACAGCACTACAAGGTTTGTATACTCCTATTACCATGTAGTGCCGTTGATACAGATTGTTCTTTTTTTGACGATTAATCTTTTTATTTTTATTTTTAAGTAATACAAATTTTTGTTTAGGAAAAAAAAAACATTTTTTTTAAACCGTATGATGTGTTTATGACCCTTAAATGTGTAATAATACTCACAGTGATTATAAACACCAGCATGAGCCAACAAGAAATCCAATATATGTGGTGTGGACGATAATGGTAGTCTATTTGAATGGTCTGCAGCTAGAACAGTGCATACATTCACAGCAAAGTCCTGCTCATTGGGCATCGGAGAGAGGAGGGAAAGAGCAAGCCTTTCTGAGGGTCCTGCAATACGTGTGCCAGTTTGGATGGTCTCTCCCGAAGCTGAGATGTAGAAAGAAATAGGTTAGTTTCCACTCTAACAACTTGTCTGATTATTAGGTAATTAATACTTCTCAGGAGGAGAATCATAGTGAGTTAGCATCCTCATCAGATATTTGAAGATGAAGGTAAAAGAAAAGGTATAAGCATAGAAATAGACAGCAAGTGAGTGAGTACTACTGTGTATATGGTGCAGATAAACAGGTGTTAATTGACAATTCTTTTAACTTATCTTCGTTTATTAGAAGGGATAGTGACATGCATACGATTAGGTAAAGAAATAGAATTTATTTCTACAGGTATAAACTTGTTAAAAAAATAATAAAAAATAAATAGACAAAACCAAATTATTTATGTTCTGACAAGGATGTAAATCTGTATGATAGATTATACATATAAAATAAAGAAAATAATCTATTAATACAGGATGAAACTAGGAAAATATATAATTTACTTACATTATAGGAAGAGAAAAGTGCATAATTTTTTATTAGAAATAGAACAAGTGCTGCTAGTTTTAAAATACAGATTTTCTCACTATGTTCCCCTCACCGATTAATTACCTGAAATGTAAATACCACCACCAAATGATATTCGCGGCATTCCTCCACCACGGGTCCTCCTGGGGTCCTCGTCCATGTCATTGTCGTCGTCTCGGCCTGGTGGACCTTTGGCTCTTTCATATCTATTATAATTATGTGGTAAAACATTATTACATACAGATACATAATTTCGAACATTAATAGTTTAAACACAAAAAAATAAAAAATAAATTGTAATATGCAAGTGAATATAATAAAAAATATATTATGCACAAGTATCAGAATATGAACTTCATTAAAAAAAAGAAAATTTTTAAGAGGTTTAAGTTTTAAGAAAATAATGAATATCCTTTATGATTACTTTATGATTAATAACAATCATTAAAATTTATTCACAACTGGAAAGAATATATTTTTTTTATGCAACATAGAATGGCAATCAAGCTGACTGCACACCTGATGGAAACATACAAGATGGAACATAACAGAGTATACTGTTTTGCCCATGATACCTTCCATGTGTTGCCATTCCTGATGACTCAGGTGTTATTCCTCTGTACCCTATAAATTCACTGTTATCCCACCCTTGAAACTGAAACACAGCCATGCAAACACAACTGCTTCATAGTAGAAACACAAATAGAACAGAGGTGCCCAAGCAAACTGCTTTTATACAAAGTCTCCCTCTGGTATATATAATCTGGATATAAAATAATAATAGAACTTATTTACATTAAATTCATTACTTACTTTTCTAAATGTGTTCCATAAATTCTACGCAGCAGTGTGGACCCATTTACGCAGGGATGTGGTAATCTTAAGGGTCGCAAAAACGATTCCCATGTATCATTTTGATTAACCTGCAGTTATGACAAAATTTTAAACTCCATATAAAGTATGAACATAATATGTTAGCAGTTTTCATTCCCAGATGGTTGTAAGAAGTGACTCAACATACAAATATAACTGTATTAACTATTTTTACAGACTTAAAAAAATGAATTCAATTTAGTTGTATTTATTTTTTATAAATTGTATAATTTTATTTTTTATCTGAAAGGATATGCTTCCAATTTGATGCCATAGAACTTTCATCAAAATTGGTTTGGTTTTGAAACCAGAAACCTAAAGTTTGGCCATGATTGAAACAATTTTTTTTTTTATTTATAGAACCTGTGTGATTTAGACATAAACAAAGTAGTGTATAATATATTGAAAATTAAAATTTTGTGAATATATTCAATTGATTTAACTCATTTTTAGTATAGTAGGCAGGTAACAAAAATTAGTACTGACATTATATAACCAATATAAAATGAAAAAGAACTTTTCAAAAGTCTCTTAAAACATTACCTTACTAAGTCCTCCCCGTTGCTGCACCAATGTATAGAAATGAAACAAATCTATCTCTACACCATTCACAACAGGTACCTTCCATGGTATACTAGAAATAAAATAATCACTAGTAAATATCATTTAGTACAAGTTTAGATTATTTTCCAAATTAATCATGAAATAAATTAAGATGCATAAAGTGTAATAATGTTAAATATAGAGGGGCCTAAGAAGTTTTCAACTTCCCTTTCCTCAAAGAAAATAATAAACAATTTTTTATATTATTATCATTTCAGTCATCAACTGTCCATTGCTGAACAAAAGCCTTCCCATAATGAGGGATTTGCCAGTAGTTGCCACACTTGACAGGCAGGTTGGCTACTGCAGTAAAACTTTGGTGACGTTTTAAGAGATCACTGCTGGCCATCTCTCATACATTAAGCTTCGTTGGTCTTCTCTTATGACTATTACGGGAAGGAAGGGGTGGTCCATTTTATTTTGGGACTACATAGTAAATACTAATAGTAACTATGAATAATTTTGTTTAACTAAAAAGATACAGAATTTTATTAAAAAATAGAATGAAAATTACTTTTAATTTATTTAATTACTTTAATTAAAACACATAGCATATTTGAATACAGTTAATAATATAAATTTAAACCTCTTTCTTAACACCGACATTAGATACACCAATTAAATGTACCAGTTAAAACGAAACCATGAATGTACTATACACGAGTATCGTACTTACTTTTTAGATTCATTGAACTGTCTAAGTTCTTTTAAAAATACATCCTTATCCTTAATATAATTATTAGATTTCGTATTTACTTGAGATTTTGCCATTTTTAAGCGTCAATATATTAGTAAAAGTAACCACTATAAAAACACTATATAAGCTCTATTCCGCCATGAAAATACCACTTATAGCGACGGTATACAAGAATTTGACTAGTGGATTAATGTGTTAATAAATAACAATTATAAATAATTAGCAATTTTAGTTATTACAATTAATAAAAATAATAAAATTTTTTTGGTAATTATGCTTTTTGACAGTGACATGACAAACGAGACAAACGCCGGGCGTCGGTTTGATGCGTCAGAGGCATAGATTAAGAACAATAAAACGATTAAAAAAATGTATATTATAGATAAAGTATAATATAAAACTTTTATGATATAAATGAAGACTTTGTACCAAACCTTTTTTTTTTTTTGTTTTTTTTTACCAAAAGGAAACTTCGTACAAAAGTCTTTTGCTTGAGCACTTCTGTTCCATTCGTGTTTCAATCATAAAGCAGTTATGTTTGCATGGTTGTGTTTCGATTTGAAGGGTGAGATATGGCGTGAATTTACAGGGTACAGAGGAATAACATCTGAGTCCTCAGAAATGGCAATACATGGGGGATATCATGGTCGAAACAGTATACTCTGTTATGTCCATAATACTACTCATATCTATAGTCGACGGTTACCACTTTCCATCAGGTGGGCCGTTAGCTTGTTTATCATTCTAAGTTGTATGTAAAAAATGACGATGTATTATATATACTGTACCTTCAACAGAATTCAACTAAAGGTTTTAATTTATTAAGTTCTATTTGGTTTAAACACTAAATTTCGATTAGAAAAGAAAACTAACGAGCTAATGTCAATGGCACAAAAACTCACTTAAACAATTACAATATCTATATATAGGCCCAATAGCAGAAATGTTAAATAACAAATATACAAATATTAAAATGAAGAATCTGGTATTGGCAACAGGGAAATGAGTGATAATCTATTATTCCCCCATCAATGTTGAAAAGAACCCAATATACCCATTTATTGTATCTAGTTTCTCGTTAAAATGTCACTTTATAAAATAAAAATAATTTTAGTCGTGTAAATGTAAAATTGAATTTCCATTTTCGCATTAAATATCTCATTTGGTCCTTGTAAGTTTTAGACAAACTATAATTATGTGTAATTGTAATAAAGTTGTAACCACAAATACCCAGAAAAAAGACTTTCTAGTAGGAAATTATATTGAGATAAGAACACTACTTAAAGCAAGCGGAGCTTATGTGCTTAGGACTTCGCTTGCTCATTAAAACACATCGCATTAAAATAATTCGGTTTACACCAGCTCTTTTAGAGCTACAATTCGAGGGTTATGTAACGCACGTCTATTTTAATAAAAATTGAATGCCTTGCACAATATTTAAAAAAACGTTTTATAATAATCTGCCAAACTTATGTATTACAAAATTTGTTACTGTATTACATAGTTTTTTAAACAGGCTTCGTTCAAATTTTACACTAAAAATTATTCGAGTAGAATTTTTTTATAAAAACATTATTTTTTTAAAGTAACGGTGGTAAAATTCTAAACAAACATTATTACTGTATAGCCATGTTATGATTTCTCCTCTACATAAAAATAATTCGATGGAATGCACAATTTTTTTTTAAATATTTATAGAAATATATTTAAAAAAAAACTCATTATTTTGTAACTATTGGTTTAATACATTTTTTTTTGATAGGGCGTAAACCTTCTCTACCGCTAGAATCCGTTTGATCCATGACCTATAGAACATTGTAATTAATCATTTATTTTTCTTTTCAATATAATTTTCATTGTTACTTCGAAAGGTAACATGCATTCAATTTTCATCCGTGGATATACGACTGCAACTCTTATAATATAGTGATTCTTCTTCTTCTTATTTCAATTTAAATGGCTGCCACCAATTTTGATTGGTGAAAAAATATAGTGATGACTTATTTGCCCAATTTGCTCTATCGTTGTTAATGACGATGTTTGCGAACATGTCACCTACTGTCAACTGTCATCAAGACTGTCATTGTTCATCATGCTTGCTATCTAAGAATACTTGCTTTAAGTACCTATTTTATAGGTTAGAAAACAGAAAAACATTCTTTCTTAACCTCTTTATTTCATATATTTTTATTACTTATTAATTGGAAAAATAATAAGCAAAATGGTGAAAAAGAAAATAGATAACCGTATTAGAGTTATGATCGAAAATGGGGTTAAACTTGGACATCGTACTATGTTTTTACTCGTCGGTGACAAAAGCAGAGACCAAGTAAGTAATAAGTTAAATATATTATTTATGAATTTATACATATAAAATATGGGAAAAGCAAAACTGGATATTGCCTATTACAGTATACCTGTTCTATAACTATCATTATGGTTAGTTTATTTAAAAAATATACCATGTTGTCTTTTAAAAAAATATATGTTTATTATTATTGTCACATTTCAGGTCCCAATTTTATATGATATGCTCGTGAAATCTACTGTTAAGGCAAGGCCTACTGTTCTTTGGTGCTATAAAAATAAGGATGAAGCTATAAGCAAGTAAGTATTTAAAAATAAAGAAGAAAGAAAAATATTTGGCTCATAGCAATATCAACAGTTACAACAAAAACATATATAATATAAAATATAATTATAAGCTTAAAGAAAATATAAAAATAAAGTTATAGCTAATTAAGATTTATATGATCAAAGTTAGCAAAGTTGATACCACTTAGCAAAGTGTCTAGACATTCATTCATAAATTAATAAAATTCATTCTAGAGTGGTAGATAGTAGTAGTATTAGATTTAATTAAAGTGCATATAATTGTAATACTAGTAAATTTAAAAATCTTTAATCAAATGTATTATTTTTCTATTTTAGTCATGGCCGTAAGAGAGCGAAAAAAATAGCCGCTGGTAAATTAGAAGTGTCTGAAGAGTCACTGTTTGATGCATTCAGAGTAGCAACCACAATACACGGGCGATATTATTCTGAAAGTCATGCCATGCTCGGTCAAACTTATGGTGTTTGTGTTTTGCAGGTATATCGATTTTCTTTTTCTTTTACTATCATAGCAACCTATTTTTTAAGTAAAAAGATACTTGTAGAAGGGATAATTTCTACTAAACAAAAAGTTTTTACTTAAGAAGTATGTCATTACTTTCCAAGTAATTGCACAATTTTGTGTTTTTTTTATATACAACTAGAATGGTAAACAATGTGATAGTCCACTTTAACCCCTGTTGTTTTATTTATGATTTCTATTTTATTCTATACAGTGGAGCTGTTGTACATTAAAACTAGTATATTTTTTATAATAATTTTTATTTTACTTTAAAGATATCATGATGTATGTATTTGCCGTGCTGTCTTGGCATTGAATGGGCCACCCCTTTCTTTCTGATGGGTCTTGTAAGAGATGACTAAGGGAACTTAATCTTTGAATGGTTGAAGGATAGACAGCAGTATCCCTCTTAACTCATCACCTAACTATACTTCCCAATTTTCCTGCCAAGCAGGTAATGACTGGCAAAACTCCCATTAAATTATGAAGAAAGCCTATGTTCAGCAGTAAACACTTAACAGCTAATATGGTGATGATGATAATTTATATTAGATTACACACAGATCAAAGTAATTTTTTTTAAATGTGAATAAAATACACTTTTATGACAAAAGAGTGTCATTCCTATTATAAATAGGGCAAGAATGTAACTATGTTAGGCTAAGTAAATAACTCAACACCCCTCACCTCATTTCACTTCAGTGCATCCTCCATAACCTGTAACTTCACTGCTATATTCCACTCCTCAAACTGTAATATAGCCATGTAAGCATGGTTGCTTGGTAGTAGAAACAAAATAATTAGGAGTTTAAAGTGTTCTATTAACATAGTTTAAGTATTACTATTGAAGTGAACGTTTGTTACTCTAGTAAATAAGTATAGATTAAAATTAGTTAAAGCTACTTCATTGAAAATAAATTACAGGACTTTGAGGCGTTGACACCCAATTTGATGGCGCGTACAATCGAAACGGTAGAAGGTGGAGGGCTTATCATCTTTTTATTGAAGACTATGGATTCCTTACGACAGCTTCACTCAATCACCATGGATGTTCATGCACGGTTAGTATAAATTTCTAAAAACTAAAATACGGAAATATTTTATACAATTCTTGTGTAATTAGTGAGATACAATATATTTTTTATAATATCACATAAATAATACTTTAAATTTTACACATATATAATTTCCTTTCTATTATTAGAATTCCTTATGGACTAAATTCAATGTAAATAAACAACAAAAGAATAAAATAAACATTTTATGAGTATCATAAATGTATATATTTATACAGATATTTAGTTGTTTGTTACTTAAAAATGCTGAATAGATATGAATGAAATTAAGTAAATAGCTATGTTGTAACTCAATAAATAAAATACAATAAATACTGATTCCCTCAAAGCTATGAGTTACAGCTGAATAAAAGCAAAAAATAAATTCCTAATAAAAATAAAGAAATCAGTAACAGTTACAATTTTTAATGTTTGATCTATTTATACTTGTATATTAATAGAAAATCAAATTTAAATATAAAATTGCAGGTTTAAAACAGAAGCACATGATACAGTGGTGAATCGTTTCAATGAAAGATTCTTGCTGTCGTTAGCTGATCACCCTCGGTGTTTGATTCTGGATGATACACTCACCGTCCTGCCAATATCATCGAAGACTGCTCAAGTGGAACCAGTAGATACTGTGCCAGAGGTATACAAATTCACTATAGAACTTGTAAATCTAATGCTATGTAAATCAGCATGTAATTTAAAAATAATAAGCAGTAATATTAGTATTATAGGCTATTCAATAAATAGACATTTAATATAATAAATAGATAATAGGGCAAGAGTTTTATGACGTGGACAAAGATTTGTAATTGAAAAAAAAAGTATATAAATTTTTTTTTTAATTAAATAAATTTAATTTACAGTTCCTAAAAATAAAATTATAAAATGTCTTCGAGAGCAATATTATTAATTATCCCAAAGTCTTGATTACTTTTGTTTTTATTTTCTGCTTTTTCAGGATATGACAATATTTTTTTTTTATGTTAATATTTCTTTTTTTTTGGGATTTTATTCATCATTAAGGAATGATACCATAGTTGAATCATTATTTTTTTTTATTTTATATTATATTGTATCAACATAATAATTTATAATAAATATTTCAGCGGGTAAACCCCAAACTAAGGGATTTAATATCGTCTCTGTCCGATTCTCCGCCGGCCGGTCCTCTAGTAGCACTGTGCCGCACGTTCGACCAGGCGACAGCACTAGTCGCGCTCATCAATACACTAGCAGACAAACAGTCCAGGTATGATAACAAGTGTAATTAAAAAGTAAGAACTTTTGAGAGAAGACAGAACAAAATTTTGTTTTTAAATTTATTTTCAATTGACTTCAAAAAAGGAAAGATGAAGGAAGAAGGTTCTCAATTCGTTTGTATTTTTTTTTGTTACCTCTTAACTCCGTCAATAGAAAATCGAATCGAAAAATTATTTTTTTCTCTGAAAGGATATACCTACAGATTGGTCCCATAGAAAATTTTTCCAAAATCGGTTCAGTAATTTAGTTTTTATATCAAAATAACTGGTTTTGTCATATTTGAAGTCAGTTTTTATTATTTTGTGAAACAATCATTAATTATATTAGATTGAGATAGAACGATTATTAAAAAGTTTCAATATTATTTCTATTTTAGTCTGTTCCTATATAAAATTATGTCTTACTTAGCTAGTTGAGTAAAATTAATTTATATTGTCCAATTTCTAATTTCGCAAAATAAAAATAAATGCCAAATAAATTGTTATCCAATTTACTACCAACGACCTTACAATTTTTATTTCTATAAGTTTAATAATTTAAAGGGTACACGATCAATGCATTAATGCATTTTTCCATTTCAATTGAACCTTGTAAAAATATAATTAAAAAAAATCCTGTTAATCGATTATATCTATAAAGCAAGTGTATTGTCATTCAGGCCTCCACACTGCCTTACAGCGGCTCGTGGTCGAGGCAAGTCGGCCTGCCTGGGCCTTGCTGTGGCCGCCTCAATCGCCCTCGGCTACGTAAACATCTATGTTACATCTCCGCACCCTGAAAACTTGATCACACTCTTCGAATTTGTACTGAAAGGGCTCGACGCCTGTTTATACCAAGAACACATAGATTATAACATTGTGAGGTCAACCAATCCGGACTTTAAGAAGGCAATTGTGAGGATTAATATTTCTAGGAATTCGAGGCAGACTGTACAGGTGAGTTGTATTATTTTATAGTATTCAAATAATATCATCTCCTTGCTCTTATCACATTATTTGGGGTCGGTGTAATATGATTTTATTTAGATTATACAAGATTTTGCTTTTGTTTTTTTTTTTTCATATCAAGCCTGTTTAATCTCTTTCAAAAGAACTTTATAAAAACATTACCAAGTGTATGTTGAAATTATCAAAGAGATACCTTTAAATGAATTTAGCTACAAATCAAAACATCGAATCAATTATTTTTTGTTGGTACTACATTTTCATTATAAGTCCTATTAAAATAAACCGTATTATCAATAGTTCTGGCAATAATAATAACCAATGGCAATAGGACAGTTAGACTCCTTTACTAACAATCACCCCCCCCCCCCCACCTCCTCCTATTTAATGGCTCTCATTATTAAATCCACGCGGGCGGCAGTACATGACCCCGGACGACCACTCGCTGCTGGCGGCGGCGGACCTGGTGCTGGTGGACGAGGCGGCGGCCATCCCGCTGGCGCACGTGGCGGCGGCGGCGGCGCGCGCGCCGCTGGCGCTGCTGTCGTCCACCGTGTCCGGCTACGAGGGCACCGGCCGCGCACTCTCGCTCAAACTCTTCGCGCAGCTGCAGACCAAGCACGACGCGCCGCCGCCCGTACGTACTTTCATCTACTTCAAAAATAGAAAACATTTTAGATACAGTTTTTTTTGTATAAATACCACTAGACACAGCGCCATCTAGTAACAAACTGATAAATATATTTTTGTAATACATATTATGCATATAAAATACCCAGACCAATACATAGAGAAATACTCATAAATGCATATATTGTACAGGAATCGACCATTGGAACATAAGCGATGTCAACCGCTATATCAACACAGTAATATTTTTTTTTATTAGTATTATTATTTAGAAGCCCTTATTCATAAGCACAGTTAATAGCTGTGTCGTGAAATCATCACCATATGTTTATTTTGACAAACTGGAGCCGTGAATTCTATAGTTTGAGATTTTGCAATTACAAACCTCTAGGTACATTCTAAGATTTACTTCAATAATGTAGAAAAAATAATTCCTTGCAAACTAATACTTTTTCTAACAGTTCAAGGTCATTGACGTTCCCTTTCTTTTTTTTTTATTGCTTTGTAGATAAAATTAGAGGAACCGATTCGGTACCGGACCGGAGATCCGGTGGAAGCATGGTTGAATGCACTTCTGTGCTTGGAGGCACCTCCTCCGGCTGTAGGCGTGGGTGCTCCGTCCCCAGCAGCTTGCGACTTGTTCCGGGTCAACCGGGACGCGTTGTTCTGCTATCACCGCGCCGCTGAGGCCTTCCTACACCGACTAGTCTCTATCTACGTCGCTAGTCATTATAAAGTGAGTATTATAATCACATATCGTTAATTTACAGCTTAAATTACCGCGATCTTATTCCCGTTGAATAAACATTATTATTCTCGGCAAGGCTAAATTCTTTTTGTATTTTAATTTATTCGCCATTATATATAGATTTTTCTTCTCAACAAATAACATTCTTTACTCAGCAGTAGAATTGAAAATAATGATTTAATAGAGCTTCTTTCAAGTTTATTTCAATAAAGGTAATTTCTATTCTATTAATTCGGCTCGAAGGACCAAATAATAGTTTTGGGGAACAAATTTAGGGCGATTTAAAAATATACATTCAGTTTTTATGTATAAAAAATGATGAAAGTAAATTTTTAGATAAAACAATGTAACTTAAAAGCGCCATCTATTGTAGTGTGTGAGATCTATTTTAAATTCTAATTCTATCCAAGTCCTGAATAAATTCAAATGTAAATATTTGTAAAGCAGTTTATTCTTACAGAACTAAACAAATTTAAATTACATTTGGCACTCAATAGCTCATAATCTAAAACATATCAACTACTTTTATACTAATTCACATGGGCAAAGCCGTGAAATACAGCTAGTAATTTTTTTTTTTTTATCATTAGAACAGTCCGAACGACCTTCAGCTGTTAGCGGATGCGCCGGCGCACTGCCTGTTCGTGCTGTTAGCGCCCACGCCGCCCGCCTCCACCGCCATGCCCGAAATACTATGTGTCGTGCAGATGTGCCTCGAGGGGAACATCTCTGACAAGTTTGTGTCGACAATTAATTACATTTACATATATATAGTGGCCTTTTACTTGATCAAAAAGGATTTTTTTTATGTTACTTAGAATGGCAAACAAGCTGATGGCCTACCTAATAGAAAGTGGTATCCAATAGGACATCATAGAGTACACTATGACACCTATTGTACTTCTCATGCAATGCCATTCCTAAGGATAATAGTGTTATAGCTCCGTATCCTGCAATTTAATTGTCATATTCCACCCTTCAAATTCAAACAACCGTGCAAAATAGCTGTTTCATGGTTAAAATGCGAATATTTGTGACATTTTGAAGGAAAGATTATGGGTTATGACTCAGATAAAGGAAAAGTGAAGTGTCATGTCATATAATGATTTAAAAAATATAGACATTGTCATTTGGAAAAGGAAACCATAAGATAGTGTTTTTTTTTTAAGAGTGAAAATGGAGTGGTAGCTCCGCCTGCGCTATCGATATTATGTATGTGGGGCACCAGTGAAGAATGATAGGTGAGAATGAAGCAGGTCAGTTGGCCCTTCGTGGTCAATCCAACAGTAATTAACCACAATGATTTTCCGGGAGAATCACATGTAAATTGACCTGACTTACCATACTTACCATACCATCACTAACAATCCCCTTTCACGAGTTAGCCCAATAAGAGGAGTTTAAAAAAACCTACTCATATATTGATTAAATTTAAATCAAATGGTCTTTTTTGTTTAGATCAGTTCGCGACAACTTAGGGCGAGGGCGGAAAGCGGCCGGCGACTTGATCCCATGGAATATATGCGAGCAATTCGGCGACAAAGACTTCCCGAAGCTGTCCGGCGCCAGGGTTGTGAGGATAGCGACGCACCCCTCGTATCAACGGGTAAGATTAATTCTATACACTCAAAATGAAGCAAACTGTGTTATCATAGACAAAATATTTGTTAAGCAACTTTATAGTAAATAAACTTACAGCCCATTTGAGGAAATTGTTTTGGCCTATATCAACCTTTTCCAAAGTAGGCGATAACGCCCCCTTATGGGCGCTGTAGGCCTAAAGGGGGGCGGTAAGTGACCCAAAAGAAAAATGGGGGCGTTGTGTAGAGGCTTGAGGGGTGATTTGTTAATCTTGAGGTAATAGTAGTTTTTAAGTAGGTGAAAAAATGGGGCGCTAAACAATTATTTATTCTCAAAGTGGACAGTAGACAAAATAAGTTTGGGAACCGCTGGCCTATATTATATTCTTTATTAGTTGCTGGTTCTAAATACAATAGTGTGTGTGAACCCTGTATCTTCAACTTTCAACTAAATCTGCCATACAACAGCTGCTTCGCGACAGTACTCAAGCACATAAATTTTATATAATACCAATTATTCTTCTAGTAAAAATTTTATTTCCACATATTCTGTTTCATTATGTTACTATAATTTCTACTTATGTCATTAAAAATATTAATATGGGTACGTCAATAGATGGGTTATGGGAAGCGAGCGTTACAACAGCTGACCGCTTACTACAGCGGGCAGATACCGTGCTTGGATAAAGCGGAGTCCGATGAAGAGGATACATCCAACGGTAGACTGGAGACGCTACAGACAGAGACAATAGTGCCTAGGTGAGTTGTCTATTGAAAATTAGTTTTTTATTAATATCCAATTATTATAATAGAATTGTAACTCATCATCAATATCAGCCTTTAATTATCCATTGGTGAACATAAGCCTCCTTCTGAGGGGGTTTTGCCAGTAGTTGCCATGCTTGGCAGTTGGATTGGCAACCAAAGTCAGGCTTTAGAAATGTTTTAACAAAGGATGGATGGGCAGCAACAAACGCTGCTGCCCATCCCTCGCCCTCCCTTAGTTCCCTCTTACGACATCCACGGGAAAGGAAGGGGTGGCCTATTCTATGCCGGGACCACTCGGCCAAATATTTAAACTAAGATTAATTAACTAACTGTCTAAGATTAATTGTAAGACCCAATAGATATCAAAACAATACTATTTTTTTTATTTTAGTCTCTCTGTATGTTTTTTCCAGTGTGTTACACAAAAACTGCTGCATCAAATTGTAGCTAGTTTTCACAATTATATTCCTAAAGGTCTAACTAAACTGTTATATATTTGATCTTGATACGCCATCTACAAAAGGTTATTTTATTGGTGTTCCTACTTCTAAAATCCTCGCGAAGGAAATAGCGAATAAAAAGCCAGTTCGTAATTTCTGTGATTCAATTATTAGTTTCTACCTGCAATTGTGCCTGCATGATCAGGGTAAAACTAACCTTTTTTTATACAACTTACAACAGCAAACAAGCTGACGGCCCACCTGATGGAAAGTGGTAACCGTCGCCTATAGACATGAGCAGTACCATGGACATAACAGAGTATACTGTTTCGCCCATGATACCCCCCATGCCTTGCCATTCCTGAGGACTCAGGTGTTATTCCTCTGTACCCTGTAAATTCACGTCATATCCCATCCTTCAAACCGAAACACAGCCATGTAAACACAACTGCTTCACGGTAGAAACACGAATGGGACAGAGGTACTCAAGCAATCGATTTTTGTACAAAGTCTCCCTCTGGTAAAACCTATGACTATGGTAACCTATGATTTTCATTCCAAAAAGTACGCCTTTTTAATTTCATTACCTACTTAGTTCAGATTTAGATGGTGCTGTATGTAATAATTATATTTTTCACCATTGTGTGTAGAGCGAAACCACCGACCTTACTAAGGCGACTCACAGAAGTGAGAGCAGAACATTTGGACTACATAGGCACCAGTTTTGGATTAACAGAAGATTTGCTCAAGTTTTGGAAATCTCAAAAGTACATACCTGTTTATATAAGGTGAGTATTGGTAACTACAGTATATTTTTTTGCACATCGCCACAATCTCATTCGCTTACAATCTAGTCCTATGATGGCGAGTACTATATTAAAATAGTATATATAATATATACTTTTTTTTTTATACAATTTAGAATGACAAACAAGCTGACGGCCCACCTGATGGAAAGTGGTAACCGTCGCCTATAGACATGAGCAGTACCATGGACATAACAGAGTATACTGCTTCGCCCATGATACCTCCCCCTGCGTTGCCATTCCTGAGGACTCAGGTGTTATTCCTCTGTACCCAGTAAATTCACGCTATATCCCACCCTTCAAACCGAAACACAGCCATGCAAACACAATTGCTTCACGGTTGAAACACGAATGGGACATAGGTACCCAAGCAATCGACTTTTGTACAAAGTCTCCCTCTGGTATACTATATTAATAGAGTCAGTCGTTTATATATGTACTTTTAGTATGTATGTATATCAATAATTACTAGTACCGCATTCGAGTATTCTGACACTTCCCTATGGTTGACTGGAAGGGAATGCTTTTAGCATTAAGTCCGCCATGTACACATATTTGTATCAATGAATAAATAAATTATTAAATTAAATTGCAAGTATTATTAAATCGAGGAAATATAAATATTTAAATTAACCCTGTTCGCCGCACCATAATTGTTAAATTTCAAGCTTTGACTTCCACAAGACAGGCTTTGCCTAGTGTGGGGTCATAGTTATACTGTACTATTGGCTTTGTTAAGGAAAATAAAGTTTAAAGTTTATTTATTTATTTATTATAATACTTAATATATTCATATATGATGAACATTAATTAGACTAATACAAACATACACATAATATGTTAAATAAATAAGTTCCCCACATTTTTCGGTGAAGTTTGGTCGGTTAATCTTATAGCATTGAATACCACATGAAAATCAAAGTTTAAATTTAGAACGTCCTTTTACAAAATTTAACCATTTCCCCCGCCTGCAGTCAAAAAGCGAACGAGCTGACTGGCGAGCACTCTTGCATCATGCTGCTGTCGTTACAAGCGGAAGCGGGAGCGGGGAGCGGTTGGGTAGCGGCGTACAGCGCGGACTACAGACGGCGGCTGTCGCGTCTGCTGGCCCGCTCGTTGCGTTGTCTGCCTGCAGCGTTAGCACTTAGGGCGCTAGGACCTAGTGCCTCCAGTGGGCCGGGTAAGGTTTTCTAAATTTATTAAAATGGTTCTTTTTTTTATGGGTGAAAATGGTATGGTAACCCCGTCTGCGCTAACGGGATACGCTGGCGGGGCACCAGTGAAGGGTGATAGATGAGAATGAAAACAGGCCAGTTAGCCCATCATGATGAATTCATCAGGAATTAACCATGATAGTTTCCAGGGAGAACCGCAAGGAGATCGACCTGGTTGGGTATATTGGTAGCAATGGGATTCTCAGTCTCCATTACTAACAATCCCTTTCCCCCCTATTAAAATGGTTGCACTGTTTTACTCTGGAGTACCTATGAGGGATGATGATGAGCTAGGTGAGGATGAAGTCAGAATAGTTGGCCCGTAATGGTCAAATCACCCGGAATTTATTTCGATGATTTCCATTTCGGTACCATCAGGAAGTAAACATGTAACCACTTATCACTAGCAGCTATCTAGATATATTATGATCTGTTATATTTTCACAATTTCAGCTCTAACGAAGCAGCTAATCGAGCAGCACCTATCAGGTCACGACCTGTCCAGGCTGGAGGCGTACAGCCGGCAACAAGCGGACTACAGACTGGTGACTGATCTGTTACAGCCCCTCGCCACGCTCGTCTTCCACACGCGAGCACCCTTCAAGTTGGATGCTGTACAGCAGGTTGAATGATTGATATAACTAGGGAACTTTTTTCTGTCATTAATTTATTAATCTGGTGGTAAACTGTAACTGTTGCCGATAGATATGAACAGCACCACACGTCACAAGACGAACGGACATTATAAGATCCTTTAGAAAAGTAACGAACGAATCTATCGATAGAATCGATTCGATTAGCGTTCTCGTGGGAAAGAGTAAGACATCTAATATCGCCATCTCATTCTATCTCGTCGACCTGCTAGTCATAACGATTCTATTATGCACACGACAATAATCTCTAATGAGGAAGTCAAAGGCATATGTTGTCTGTTACTAATGCGCTGACATACTCACATTTCATTGTGTATTTTTTTTTAAATGATGATAATGAAATGGTGACCCCGCCTGCGCTATCGGTATACACTGGGCACGTCATCCCTCACTGGTGGGGCACCAGTGAGGGATGATAGGTGAGGATAAAAGCAGGTCATGTTGATCCGCCGTGGCAAATACCTCAAGAATATATCATGATGGTGTCTAGGAGGAACCGCGAGAAGGTCGACCTGTCAGGGTATATTGTTAGCAACAGGGCCATTACTAACAATCCCAATCGAGTATATTAGGATGCAGTGTGTAAGTTATTTTTTTTGTTATTAATTGCAGGTTATATTCGTAGCAATGGGATTTCAAATGAAAGAAGTAGACGACATTGCGGGCGAGTTGAGTTTACCGGGCTCGCAAATCCTAGCCAAATTCTACGAAGCCTGCAAGAAGATAAACAATGTCGTCAACGCCGTGGTAGAAGATACTGTAGCTAAAGAAATAGGTATAGAAGATAAGACTGCAGACGACGTGAAAGCAGACGGCCCTGTGAAGCAGAGTCTACGAGAGGAATTGTCGAAAGCAGCTAAGGTAATTTTTGGCTGTGTCATTTTATATGGCGTATTTAGACTTGGAAAAAATTATATATAATTTGAAAGCTGTATGTTATTTTATTTATGGATCGCTAGGATCCGCCCTGGCCTCGCACGATTGGTTAAAAAGGTAAATTACTATTTTATATTACCTATAACAGGCAAATTTTTGATGCTTTGGATTATATTATACATTATTATAATTTTTTTTTATACAACTTAGAATGGCAAACAAGCTGACGGCCCACCTGATGGAAGTGGTAACCGTCGCCTATAGACATGAGCAGTACCATGGACATAACAGAGTATACTGTTTTGCCCATGATTCCCCCGCATGCGTTGCCATTCCTGAGGACTCAGATGTTATTCCTCTGTACCCTGTAAATTCACGCCATATCCCACCCTTCAAACCGAAACACAGCCAGTCATACAAACACAACTGCTTCACGGTAGAAACACAAATGGGACAGAGGTACCCAAGCAATCGACTTTTGTACAAAGTCTCCCTCTGGTGATTTTCGTAACGTGTTTAATTAAAAAAAAAATATTTTCATGTTTAATTTACTTGTAATTAGATCGAGAAAACTCGACTAGTTTCGGGGTTAATTCGTGATCCTTATTCATGAGCGACTGTGATGCGAGCGCGTGCCTTGCATCGCTGGCATAAGTAGTCATTACATTAAAGTAAAATGTATTCTTACGAAACTTTTAAATAAAATAATATATAGCTTATGTACTCGCTAGTAATGTAGTTTTCAATAGTTGAAAGAATTTTTGAAATCAATTGAGTAGTTTTTTAGTTTATCCATTACAAACAAACAGACAAAAAATTAAATCTTTCCCTTTTATAATGTTATTAGTATTATATAGACAAAGAATTTCCGTAACAAAAGAATATAATGTGTCCTTTTATCCCCATGGTATTGTAGAGGCGATAAAGGGGTAATACAATACAATAATAGGTGAAAATAAATTCGCAGACAAATCAATAGATAGGTAAAGATATGGTAATAGATAGATTACAATAATCAACATGGATAGGCTACTTCTTTTCCCATGGGTGTTGTAAGAGGTGACTAGAGGCATTTAATTGTAAAAAGATGGGCAGCAGCACCTCTCTTAAAATATCACTAAAGTCTATGCTGTTGCCAGGTGTGACCACTACTGGCAAAACATCATGAGACATCTCAAGAGACATGCCTATGTTTAGCAGTGGACAGTTAACACTTGATATGATGTTTTTTTAAAGCATTTACGAGATTATCAAAACTTACATGTTATGTAGGAATTGGAGCGTAAGCAGCGCAAAGAATTATCCAAGCTAATGGGTGAAGACCTGGCACAGTACCGCATCAAAGGCAGCGATTTGGACTGGGGGCAGGCCCTCGCAGGCTCCAACAAGAAGAGTCTCGTCTCGGTCAAGAGGTGAGGCCGTATATATTTTTTTTATACAACTTAGAATGGCAAACAAGCTGACGGTCCACCTGATGGAAAGTGGTAACCGTCGCCTATAGAAATGAGCAGTACCATGGACATAACAGAGTATATTTTCTGTTTCGCCCATGATACCCATGTGTTGTCATTCCTGAGGACTCAGGTGTTATTCCTTTGTACCCAGTAAATTCACGCCATATTCCACCTTTCAAACCGAAACACAGCCATGCAAACACATCTGCTTCACATTTGAAACACGAATGGGACAGAGGTACCCAAGCAATCGACTTTTGTACAAAGTCTCCCTCTGGTAAATACATGCATATGACTTTTTATGTATTAAAACTTTGTATAACTTATTATTTAAAATATTATTTTTACTCCATCTATGTTATGTCTTATATACAAACCTTATAAATACTTTCTTCTTTCGGGTTCTCTAGGTTAACTCGAAGTGATCACTTGGAGGGATAAATCCACCTGAATACATTTTGTTAAAATATTTTTTTGTTATAATAATTTTGTTAATATCTATGTTAAAAGTGAATATACAAGAGCAATTAAATAGATATACAATAGAATGTGATACCAAAGACGGCTTAATACTTTAGGCATTGTATACTAGCCAACCTTTAGAATTTTAATTTTTTTTATACAACTGAAGTGGCAAACAAGCATACGGCCCACTTGATGGTAAGTGGTTACCGTAGCCTATTAACACCTGCAATACCAGAGGTATTACGTGTGCGTTGCCGGCCCTGAAGAATATATTCCTTTGTATAATTGAAGTCCCAGTTTCCTTTCTAGATCGGACCAATTTTACATTTAAGTTTTTGTAACTTTCTTCCTGCATTAGACGGCTTTACGAACCGTCCGGTAGGCCATGAAAGAACTTTCAATACAATGAAGGCAGTTTAGAAACTTTTTTAGTATTCATATTTTAATAATTGTATTTACATTTATATTCTTTTTAATTTCGTTTCACAGCGGTGAAAAGCGGTTAGGCGACGACAGCAAGGAGATCGACGACCTAATAGAAGCCCACGCGAACAAGACAAAAAAGAAAAAGAAACATAACAGGAATTGAATAAAATGTTAATTTTATTTAAATATTTATTTTATTTACTAAATAATCCCTGGATCCTTAAGATGGGCATCACAGTGTACTCTGTGCTATTCATATATATGATATATTTGTTTATTTATAGATGACGGTTAACACTTTTCGTCAGCTTGTTTGTCATACTAGTTACATAAAAAACTTAAGTTGTCGAAATTTAGTATAATTGTACTAAATTATGGGTCATTATCATGCCAGTCCACTGTTTAATGCTAAACATATGCCTTTTCCTATTGGAGAATTTTGTCAGTAGTTTGCACGCTTGGCACGCGGATTGGCAATTATGGGTGTTGCTGAGGAATTAAAAAAAAGAAACATTCAATAATAATTTCTATAATTATTGTAATATAAAAAAGTGTTGGTAGTTATTCAACCCTTGGAATAGACAATAGATATTTCCTCTTAAACATAACAAATATGAGGGGCCATGCTAGTCCACGGCGTGGCGCCGTCGGCGCGCTCGTAAAAAAATAACATATTTTTTAAACCTGACCGTCCGCGCGACGCGACCACCCATTGCCACCAGCATGACACCCATACTTTCTATACTTTACCATTTATTACAATATAATGTGATCTAAGAAAAATAATATTTTCGTCTAACGCCCGTGGAGCGTCTGTAAACAATTTTATACTATAATTTGTTTGTTTCTTACATTAAGAGTACACACGCGTCTACTCTTTACGAAATGTCCACGACCTCGGCTATTGCCCGTAAACAGCGAAGGCCCGACGTTCTCTCAACAGATTTCGGTCGACTGTCGCATTTGACGAATGCGTGTGCTGACATCTCGGACAGAAATCCGTCGAGTTGCGTTCGCTCGCAATATCTGATCTACTTTAATAACAAATTTACAGCGAAATGCATGTTTACACTCTCCACAACTATTATATGAACGCGTACGATACAACTGCCGCACATTAACGCCTATATAATTGTAATAAAAACTACTACAAAACATAATTTAGAATATCATTTACTGCTATTATCGTTAATAAACATTATGCGATTTCGTTCATTTTAGTATACAATTCTCCATTTTTACAATACAAATAAAAGGTTAGAAAACAGGAAGTTGTTGATAAATTTATCAAATTGAGAATAATGATTGAAATTATTGGCATTAAAATATCATATTGGAGGTTTGTTTGGCTAAGCGAGACAATGGGACATTCTAAAATGCCTTTCTCTAAATTGTAAGTCTCTCTAAAAATTCATTTTAGAGATATGAGTTAGAATTATCTAAATGTATCTTTTAATATTGAAAAAGAAATTCTAGAATCACCCAGTCTCTTCAATCCACACTGTGACATACAAATACATAATTGAGAAGGAATTGCACTTAGGAAAGGTTGCGACTCTTGGCACTTTGTCTTACGCTAATAATTAATTTGACAACAAAAAATTAAACTCAACTAATAGAAATCGACGCCCATTATCACTCAATACACACAACATTATCTAAGCGCGTTTCGAAGCCGCACACGCCGTACGTCTAACTGCTCGAAATGTACTATGCAATTATGAACACTATTTGAATTGCATAAAGAGTCAAATCGAATTCCTTGCTTGTTTTATAATATTGAAAACAACAGGCGGCAAACAATGGAAAATCATAATCGTCATAGAATAAGAACACTGACATTAATGACATCTCTATTTCATTCTCATTCTGTGCGTTAAGTTCTTACGCATCTTGTGTCAGATATTGCACTGGTTTAACTGTACATCAGACCGAATCAATGCACTACCCGATACGAATTTTGCTGCACCAAGCATTTTTTTTATATTCTGTGCAAGCTAAATTCCTTTTCAAAAACTGTTACATCATAAAAGAAAATATTTATAAATTATTTAAAGTTGTACACATGAAATAAACAACATACAGAAAACTAGATGTCGCCACTAATGTGTCGGTCTTTGTTACAAAAGTTACTTATTAATAACAAAATTAGCAATAACAGTTGTATGGCTGGAGTAAATTAATTGTAATTGTAAATAAATTATAATAAGGTTTTAATTTAATTAAACTCTATTAAATCGGATTTAAGATTCAAATTTGATGCGCAAAGGACATTTGTAGCATCTATTTCGAAATTATATATTTGAAATAATTAATATTAAAAACTGCCTATAATTAAAATCAGTTATTTAATAAATTATTCTATAAATAAATTAGTTAATAATAGTTATATATTTATGTATATAAATAATTAATTGATTTAATTTATTTATTTACTGACCATTCACCATCCATCGATTAAATAAAGTATAATCCCGCTTAATTATCGCATTACACATCGAGCAGTTCGACTTGGCTGGCTATGAATTCGCGTTTAATAAAATAAATGTGAACAATTACATTGATATTCATACGTACACGATTCTATGTAACTAATTACTTGCTCATAAAATATATAGCTCAATAACATAGATTTGAACTTAGCGTACACATGTACGATGGAAGCGAGTGTACAGCGATCGACTAACAGGAGAGGGCACTACACACCGGTTACTCGAAACACGAAAGCAAATGCACTAAACCTTATTGCCACACTTACATTATTGCTACGACATATACATACCGCTCTACGTATTATAATATAAATATAATAAATATACAACATTCAATAAAAAGAAATATTGTTACTTGTTATTGCATTACTTTATTTATTATAAATCAGAGAGGGGTTTTATTTTCAATTTTTAAATCTACTTTAGTGCGTTTAGTGTACAGTGCGATTGATCAAAATCTGTACAAAAACATCAAATTGTTACCATTAAAATAATATGGCTGTTACCAACTCTGTACGCTGTATAAGCGAGCCGTTTTGTCCCCTTATACATCACTTAGACAGTTAACGTACAGACCGCACTATGAGTGTGTAATTTGAACAAGAGATTTCAAATTAAATGAGGCTAAACAATCTCTCACTAAGGCACAATTTAAATTTCCATTTTGAACTTTATTTCTAAAATAAATGAATTCAATTCCCCACTCCGCATAATACAAATAGGCGCCTCTGCCATCGGCCAGGAGTAGTTCGGGACAGTAACAAGGAAACACCTAAAAATGGTTATCGTGTGAATTGTTATTCTAAAAATAGTTATATAATAATACACGAATACGGCAATGCACTTAAGCGTCTTATATTCATTTAGAATGTGGTTGCGTTGTAGTTTAGAATTGTTGTTTAGTAAAATGTTTATGTAGATACAATTATAGGCTAGTAATTATTAATATCCGTTGTGCTTAGTTTTAAACCAAGGTAATTCATGTATAAACATTCATTCAAGAATTTAATAATGACAATTTACGTACTTATTTAATTAATTGTTACATTTACAATTCTAAAAGACGACGTCAATAATCCGACTTAAAAATTATTTCAATAATATTCTGTCTCTGTTTTAGACCTTGTTATTGAGTAACTTTATGGGTTTTTTTTTAGTCCATACATATTTGTGTATATAAAATTCATAATATGTCTCTTGAAAAGTTATACTTAGAACCATGATCGCTAAATATAAAGTATGTGATGGATTTCAAATAAGTAGGGCATTTGGGATTTTCTTATAACATAAATAAAACAATTTAAAACAAGCGCACGACAGATAGTAATTCATTTACGATATAAAGCACTGCTGCGTGTTATTCTTTGTTAAATATAGTATAAAAAGATTATAAAATTCTAAGCTAGTAATTTATTTGAATCTATGTTGCGACTAAGCCTATTTATACTATGAGTGTAGAAATCCATGTTAAGTACATAATCTCTTATGGTGTTGCTTGGTGTTACTTAGGTATAAAATGAAATTTCGAACCATCCTTATACCATCCTATAGTCGATTTTATACATAAAGTATTTAATGAAAGCAGCAAATTGTAGAGCATCCACATACATTACTTATAAGTTACTGTGGAATTTATTTATGATATTGTACTGTTTATTTTCCAAATAAAATCTATAACCATAATTCAAAACAGGTGTATTTTGATGTAAGTTTTGCCCTTTTCACACTTAATGCACTTTGTCGAACTAGATGTCCCGTTCTCACTATTTGATACAGGCGACAGGACCCGAAGATATAGTATTATATTATCTGTGCACGAAGTGAGGGAAGGGTCACTAATCGAAACAGTATCTAAATATTTATTGCATTTTATTCTTTAATAATAAAAAAAATATAATTTGGCACTTAATTTTTAAAGAGGGCACACGTTCTCCCCGTCTCAATTATCTTCATACATCCAAATATCTCTATCTCTTTTCTCGCATCGCCAACTTGCTGCTTAGACGTCCTCTATACAAAGTACTACATTAAATCAATGGAATCGTTTAAGACTTTTCCTTATATCGACTATAGGTAGGCAGTGTTTAAAAGATGGATATTTTAATTGCTTAGAACAGTTGCCAAGACTTTTGGAGCAGTGTTTTTCAACCATTTTGAATACGCGAACATTAATAAAATATATTTAGTACCTACACGATAAAATTACTAATCCAAGAGATGGCGGTAGGGTCGCCCTTTGCCATGGTGAATTCTAACATTCGCGGCGAATTATGCATGTCGATTACGTTTTGTACATATTCGATAAATGCCTCTGATTACCCTATTAAATATTACAATCGTAAGCAATTTTTTTTATCTTATCCATGACCCCATAAGTTTGTAATAAAAGTAAATAAACTGATTTAAAAAATGGCGTTTTTTATTAACTTTCTAGTAAGAAATAATAATCAAGTGCATTTTTATTTGACTCCTCCCCACCCCTTCGCCCTTCGCGATCCGCAGGTTGAAAAACACTGTTTTAGTAAAAATAGAGCTACTCTTATTATTTAGATCAAGGATCTCCGACCGTAAGAATTCATAAACACAGGGTGTTTAAAATATATTTACTGTAGTTTTATTGTAATAATCCATTAGACCGGGAACTGAATGTATCGAAATGAATAAAAAAAATATAAATTAGTTCAGGAAAAGTTCTTACTGACATAAATAGTCTTCTTTTAATACTATAGTACTGAAAATGCATTTTATATAATGACAATCTAAAAATATTAGTACTATGAAATTCTGTTACTGAATTACGCATATTCGACTAAGCTGATTTATATGGAATTTGTCAAACACATAGATCTTGATAAATTTACAATGTATTCACACGGACACAAGTAAATACATTATTGAACACCCCGTGTAAGAAAAAGTGTATTGCTTTTACCTTTTTGGCGATCTAGTAAACAAACAAATCGTTGTATATGGATATAATTATTACTAACAATTACATAATTCTCTTGTTACTATTGCCAACTGTGTTTCACTTGAAAGGCCCCTCATGCTAATGAATCGTAATTTTGCAGTTTCCTGCCAAATTTCGTAGCGTTTTCATTAAATCATTCATCTTAAATAAGATGCCATTTACGTTACACAGATAACGTATTTAGACATCATCCTGCTCTTCATGGTCGTACATCATACTTGCAATTTTAGACTTTGAAATAATTCAAAACCACAAAGTTTACGACTCTTAGCAAGTGCTTCTTCTTAATAACTGCCTGCACGCTCAATGTAGGATAGCGACCATAGACTAAAAAACAATAACTATGCTAATGGCCTTTTAGACTAGTGATAAACGTATCTATCGATAGGTGCGTAAACGCTACCGCGTTAGATAAAACGTGATAGCAACTCACTCTTTCGCATGTGTGCACTAACGAAAATGTGTCTACCGATAGTTTCGTTTGTTACTCGTCTTCGATGGTTGGCTATGTGAATTTGCCACTTTGTTTATAGCTATATATTGCTGTGTGAATACGGTAACTATGATTTATCGTATACAAAAGCGTGTTGTGTTAGGCTTGTTATACGATCGACGCAAAATGCGCGCGCACATTTAAACTAAGGGCGTGCACAAACGAGGGACAATTCTCGATCTATTTTTATGTCCATCAATATACAATAGGGAATTGCATTGTATTGATTACACGAGTTCGTACAAAGTGCATATGTTGCAATGGAGTATTTTGTCCTCCAAAAATAATAGGTCGAAAAAACCTTACGACATGATCTGACAGGATTCGAATTCGCTAAACCTATCATCCCGATAATGACACATCTTTCAGCTATTTGTCCCGAGTATTTAATTATATTACTGAAAAAACAGTGACACGTGGAGAAATTTCCCAACCACCTTCTCAAACGTCATTAGGCCTGACGCAGGTGCCATCTACTGGTGTTTTGACTAAATACCGGCTTTTATCTTACCATCTAACATACATTATTCCCATATTATTGCTGTAGGAATTCATAGTTAATTCGGGTTCCAATTTTGTCGCATCGAGCTGTTTAGAAGTAAAATTTTTCAACCTATTGTACAGAGGACAAAGGAAATTATTAACATTCTATTAAGACAGTGATTAATAGTAAAACGTGAACATTTTTCGTACAAAAATTAAGTAAATTAATTAAGTCGTTAATTTGTTACTCAATTATTAATTAATGTTGCAAAAAAAAAAGTTGAAAGCGACAAAAATATTTGCAGTCCCTAACTTGACAGCCATGTTAGCATGAACGACTCAAATATTTGTCATTTTTCTATCCGTATTTTTATGAAAAAAAAAAAAATTGTTTTACTGGTAGAATACCTCTTTAAAAAGATGAAAACAATATCTCTACCACGCTGTGGGAATTTCATATGCAGAATTACTTACGACTACCTACGACTTTCCAAAATATTTTCTTGTCCTCTATAGATTGTCTCTCGTTTGTGCAAACCATAATATGAGCTTGCAGCGACTATGACGTTACGACATCTATTATATACGTACCAATTATAATTGATCTATTTGCATAATGGTGTTTGGGTCCTTGCTTGTACGCTCAGAACTGTCGGCCAATCGTCTGTGTATTTTATTTAATACATGATACATTGTCAGGCGTCCTCACTTTTAACTTTGCAATTCAATCTGTGTGTTTATTGTCTACTGAGTCGTGCGTTTGATTGAATTGAATTTGTAGCAAGCAAGCATACGATCCGCCGTATGATAAACGGCCGCAGCAACTTATGTACATATATACTGCCAAAGGCATCACTCATTGATTCTCATAAAATACTTAAGGATATTATTTTTAAAACTTATGTTCATATTAATCCGATGCCTATATACATATATAATGGAAAATAATGAACTCACCGTGACTGACGTATGCGACGCAAAGTGGCGTATGCTCCCTGAAGAGGACTTTCGGATAAAGACAAATAAAATTGTTGAAAACGGAAAAATATGGTGAGCTCATAATCTCGTTATATATACAGACACACTTAAGGATTTTGTTCTATAGTATGGTAATTTCATACACAAACTACTAATATATTCCGACGCAATATTATATGAACTCCTATTTGTAATGATTAAGAAATTCAATCATCAAACTATGTAAAATTTTTATAAAAGAAATAGTAAGGAAAGACAAAAGAGAACAGAAATGTATGTATTGTTGAGTCTTATCCATCCGTAAGCGTAAATAAGAGGGACAGGTAGGCTGCGCCCACCTCAGAATTAGGAACAGAGCTGGGCATAAATGTATCTAAGAGTACATATGATGTTAAATATACCAATACTCTTAACAGCGTCATCTAGTTCTCAATTAGGAAAGTTCACACTACAGAATCAATAGAACCGTATGCTTGTTTGTTAATTCTAGTGGTATAAAAAAAACTTAGATTATATAGATTACGTTTCCATACAAATGCTTCGAGAAAAGCGGGTCAACTTTTCATACAATTTTGCGTGATAAATAGTTATGAGTGATTCCTTTATAACTTCTATATTTATTTTGTCTTATTATTTGTGCGCCTTTTTAATGCGTAAAAACTCATTTTATTTGGCATCTAATTTGACAATTAGCTAACAAAAAGTTGATCCGTTTTTGCGGCTCGATGCTCTATCTATATAATGTAAAAAAAAGCTATGAGTGGTTGACAACTTGTTAAAACTACCAAATATTTTTGTTTTTATAAATTATTATTTCAGCCGTTAACTGTCCACTGCTGGACATAATCCTGTCTTATAAAGGGAGTTTCGCCAGTACTCACGCTTGGCAAGTGGGTTGGCAACCGCAATTAGGCTTTTACAAATGTTTTAAGAGGAACGAACATGTTTGTAAATACATTTTATAAATCTCTTAGATCAATACATTTGTATTGAACGCGGATTGAACCTGTAACTTTTAGAATTATAGTCTGAAACAGTTAAATCCCTATTTCACTAGAGTTGCTAAAGGATATACTATTTATGGTAAGTAAAACTCCAGTACAATAAACACACATATACTAAATGGATAAAACACTGCGACTCTCTACTTCTAGATCTGTCTGGGACAATTCTAAGCGCACACGCAGTGTGCTCGACATTATTCTATCTTAAATCGGCGGCAGAAAGACACTTGCGATAAGGCATTTAATGTCTCACGAACACGTCTGTGCGTTATTGCAACAGCTGCATCTGTATCAATGTACGAAGGACGGTGCTGACTGTCTCAATGTTGGCTACATTGATTTTCTTTGATTTTGTGTAATGTTTTTTTTAATGTAATAATTGTTGATTTAACTTACATGCAATTAGGTCGAGAAAGCTCGACTAGTTTCGGAACCATTCGGAATCCTTAATCGTGAGTGGACGCAGTTTATTTTTTATTCAATGTAAACAGAGTAATATCCAGTAGCTTTTTATGTACTGTATTTATTAGAAGTGTTATCTATTTCTTTAGTAAAGGAACGTACTTAGGAAACCAGTTATAAAAAAAAATATGATGGAAGTTCAGAATTCGCATTTCGATTAATCAGATATTTACTTCGTCAGTAGAATTACGAATTTCAAGATCTTGTTTCTTGATGACTAATATGTAATATGCCGTTATTAGTAATTTATAGTATACAACAGTCCTACTCAAAGTGGGCGATAACGCCCCCTCTTGGGCGCTGCAGGCCTAAAGAGGGGCGGTAAGAGATCTAGAAAAAAAAAATGGGGGCGTTGTGTAGAGGTTTGGGGGGTGATTTATTTATCTTGAAGTAATAGTGGTTTTTTTTAAGAAGGTAAAAAAGTGGGGGCCCTAAAAATTATTTATTCTCAAAGTGAGCAGTAGACAGAATAAGTTTGGGAACCCCTGGTATACAAAGATAAATTGTCCCTAATTTCAATCTTATCTTCTGCGTACATTGTGTGACGTGTTCTTCGAGAGATCATGTCAGCACCGGCTTTGTTTCGGAATTGTATTTATCGGTAGCAAAATTGACGAAGGCAAATTGTATTACGCTATCACATAATTAAAGCATTATTTTGGTATAAAAATGCGAAACTACGACACCTCGTCGTCAAATGGCAATATGGTACGATTGATCACTGAATTGACTATATAAAACACACTGGCGCCATCTACTTTACAAATTTTATAAACTTACCGCATTAGAATAAACTGAATAAACAAATAGTCTGAATTTAGAATAATGAAGTAATAAAATTGTTACTATTTCAACATAATTACGTCTAAGTGAATAATGAACTATCTCGCATTACCAAATAATAAAAACTTTATTAAAAGAAAAACAAATCAAAGTAAATTTTAAAATAATCAAAACAAAAGGAAAGGAAAATAAAGAAACAAAAATAATCCATACATAAAAATTAATGTATTATTCTATCATCAATAACATATAGTTTACACAAATAATAAAATTAAGGGAAAACAAGTTTATACATAATCTTAATTCGAATAAAAAAAAAAACAAATTATACATGCTATCAACACAAGATGCTAATATAAAAAAAAAATAATGAAAACAGTATTTTACAATTATCTAAACAATCGCTAACCAAACCAGCGCTCACACTTGTTCATCGATTTATATATATATTAAAAAATTTTGTCAAATTTGGTTTCATTTTAGGACAACATTCACTTGAATTAATGAACATTTTATTGTTCATTTAAAATATATGTATGAAATTAATGTGACATACGTAGGTTGGTACATCCCTTCGTAGTTCAAAATAGATACGAAGAGATATGCTAGCAAAAAAAAAAAAAAAATTTATAACACAAAACTATACAAAAAAAAATTTAGAACGAGTCTCTAAAATTATGGGATTAAAGGCTTAAAAATAATAAAAGCAACAAAACATAATGGAAAAAAAAATAATTGAAAAATCATAACATTATTTAACTAAGAACGATAACAAAAATAAAGTACAGATGCGAGTTTCTAAATGAGATGCAATTGATTTTTGATAATTAATATACAATAATTCATCAACGAGAGAAAAAAAAAAAAACATAATAGTGTTGGGACAAAGTCACAACTATTGAAAGGCACTTACCAAATCCAAACCATTGTATGAATGTAAGATTTAACTGCCTAAGTTTTGCTGTGAATATTGTTGAAACAATACATAAATAACAATTTAAAAAAAAATTATAAATAAAATTTGTGCGGAAAGTAAGTACCGATTATTTGTGATTGATCGTGTAGTGTGCAACGTTCTGTAGTAACCAATATACGTAGAAGAAGTATGGGCTGGTTTCACGCGGCGACCTCCCTACTGGAAGCAACGCAACGCGAGCGGTAACTAGCGTGGTAATCACAGACACAGATGGAAATAGACGTCGCAAGGTGCCTCGATCAATATTAAACCTAAGCGTGCCACTACTAAACCATTGTGATGATACACGAGCTATAAATTGATAGCAAATTCCTCTCTACCACTTTATCATAACTTTCTTCTATGTATGAATAGGAACTTCGAATCGCAATTTAAGCTGGGTACAAGTAGGCTTTTTTGAGCTTACTTCGAACGTAATAGCACGCAAAGTACAAGGAGTTGCGACATCTATTTGCATCAGTACCTATGTTGGTAATATTGGCTCCGCGAGAGTGCGTCTATTTGAGGCGTCAGGTCTCCGAGCCGACCGCCTATCATCTAACCTACATATTAATAAATCGAACGCTGCAAGCTCCTCTACGACATTTACAATATCCAATTTTAAAAATAAATTGTCTTATACAGAACAGGATCCCGTGACCACTCACTCACGCCAGGCCTCGACACGTTCACGCCCCACACACTCACCCTCATAAAGTTTCTTATTCAAACATTATTATAAATATATAGTTTACAATATAAATTAAAATATTGAATGAAACTACACATTTCTTATAATATAATATGTACAAGGCATCTCTTGTCACTCCTTACTTAATAACGTTACAACTGTTTTGTATTGAAACGGCCGCGTACGCACACACACGCGTGCGCCCACGTGCACGCCCACGCGAGCACGCACGCACACCCGACCGACGCACGCCAACACTTGCAGTGTCATATTACTTCGCATCGGCTACACTCTTGCTATAAACGTCCATAAAAAAACCTATCTGGCACTAACATGTATATTCATTACAAAATGTATAATATAATAATTATCATATATATATATATCAATATATATATATATATATATATATACAATCACAACATAAATTTGAAAAACAACCGATAGGAATAGATATTGTTATTGGTGTTACGGCGTTATTTGATGTCAGCGTTGTTTGTAATTATAAATTATTACATTTTAAAAATATTTTGCACTTTAAGTTTATTAAATTGAATCACGTCAATTGTTTTGTTCAACCAATTACATTATCTCAATTAACTCTTCAACCATCCAACTGGAGAAGTTATGGTATTCAATGAATCTAGCTCCCCTAACAGAGTATTATTGTCTCACAAAAAACGTCTACATGTCAATGAGAGATCAGAAACTGTCTTGATCGCGCCGCCATTGTATTTCATTATCTAAACACGAAATTATATCAAACGAGAGTCTAGACGATTTTGTCCCCAAATAATTTGATATGTATACGAAAAAATATTTAGTCATATAGACACGACTGTAAACATGTTTTGCTCAATCATTGTTCTGTATCTAATCAAATCTATATAGGAACATATTCGCTATTAGTTAGACAATTGTCCTGCGAGTGCATCACACGTACGTCTACAACAAACCGACTCGTTCACATCACGTCGGCACGCATCAAGTTCCTTAGCGGTTTTAAACTAAATTAGTACTTATCGTACATTCTAAGTTTCACATTCACCAACTTAAAAAGAAGCGCGATAGTTTAGTTAATTATTGCGAAGAACTCTACAAGTGATCCCATACATAGTGAGATATTTATAATATATTCGATTGGCCCACATGCGAATAACAGTTTTCGTATAGCTCCAATTACACTAGAAACGAGCAATTCGTATTATGTGTTCCCGACAGTAAAACATTTTCAATGATTGGAAAAAGGTACTACAACGAAAAACACTTAAGATATGATTTACTCTATCACTTAACATTTACAGAGCCGGTCGATCGACGCGAGACTGGTCGCGTGCGCCGTTGCTAGGCAACGAAGCTTACTTTATATACACACGGTAATTACATTTTTATACAGTTTTTTTGGTCATAGTTTTGGAAAGATAATGTAGTTTAAAGACTGTTCGGACGACAGTCACCGTTGGTATGGATCGCATATTCGTCGGCGACATCTATCGGCCATCGAGTCCATATCTTATGTTGTCACACACGCAACGGAAAATCGCCTGTGTAATGATAAATCGTAATGTATTTATACAGAAAACTGTATAGTATTCACTACAGTTGCGATCGAAGCGATAAATCTTGTCGTGTGTGGCCGGGATTAGTTGAATACATCTGTGTGGTGTAGCATGCTATAAATATTAGGGATATAGCAATGTCTATATATTTTAGTTCCAACATCTATGTACTGGTCTAATAACGAATATGTTAAAAGTAATGCAAAAAATTATATCGGATAATAGACTTTGAACATATTCGAAAATAGATATCCGACCGATATAGGTGATATCGAAATGGGTGATGACCTTTTTGGCCAGCAATGTCCAACAATATATAGATATTACCCCTACCTAATAAACATGCGTTACAGTCCTATCCGAGTTGGTGTTATTAGTACAAAATATACAATATCTTCCGACGAGAACCTAAGAGAAAGAATATACATTGCTGATAGCGTCGATATGAAAGTATTGGCAATAGCCACATACGATTCATTGCTTGTTCATAATTTTATTAAAAGGCATTCATAATTTTAGCTTATCGAAGTGTGGCAACACTGTAATTATCTGTCATCTGTCAAAAACAAATTAACAATTTTCAATGTTTATGACTGATCATTCAATAAGTTTCTGCTAGCAAACTAAAACTTTAAACATGCAATTATATTTTTAATAAGCTGGTATTGAAAATTTGAATTCTGAGAGAAGAAATAATTTTGAAATTAAAAAAAAAAAACAGGCGCAAAGTTTTTAGTGGTTGCTTTGTATGCAACGTATTCTATTATAGACGTTCTAATTCGCTAGCAAAACATTTTTTTTTATTATCAATCAATTAAATAAAAAAAAAAAAAAAAAATATTTTTTAAATTTGACAGTTAATTTCGGGGTTTCCATACTTTAGTAAGATAAAGAATGAACGCTCTTAAGGGTGTTACTGATTATGAGCATTCGCTGTACAAACTCAGAGCTCAAAATGGCTTATTTGTTATAATAATGAATTTCAATAATTACTACAATAGCCACTAAAGTCGTCATTGCTTTTGAGTATATTTTGAACTATCCTTGTGGGGTTTTATAATCTGTAAATAAAGAAATTGATTTAATTGAAACGCCATTTTGTACTTTGAATTTATACACAATGACTCGCTATCAGAAACGCCCTTAGTTTTAGAATATACCTGTATCACAGAGGCAAATGAGCCTACTTTCATTTCCTCACTAAATTTTTTAAAGTCGACTTTTTAATGTGGGAAATAACCACTGAACTCGCAACACTGTTACCGTTACCGACGCCTCTGACGATTCAAACATTCTGAATATCTTTATCAAAGAATCATACATAAAAATGAGAAAAAAGTTTATGTCGTCCATTTCAAATTGACAGCTAGATATGCCGTGTTAGAATGGAAGGGACATATTTATTTAGGTTCACATCCGTCCTTATAATAAAGATTTCACTATTATATCAAATTCGAATTTTAGTTTTGAAGATTGGTTTAAAAAATTAGCGCCTTCGAATTGACCACAATATTTTTTAGTGTTGCTATGCTACAGTAACGATTTATAATCAGACAGGCTGTCTGCTTGCTTGTCACCTTGTGGTATATCTGTAGATTGGTGAAATTCTATCAGTGGCCTTTTACTTGATAATGGTCCTATAATAATGCCCAAGTTTAATTCTGCATATCTTTATCCAGTAATTTTCGTTTTAACGTTTAGTATTAAGCCTCTGTAGTACAGATATATGTCTATAATGTTTGAGCCTAGAATTTAATTCATAATACATTTGATTTACTAACTTCATTAAAGTTATAAAGTGTATTAATACACTAATATGGTTTAAATTTGATATTACAACGATCAAAATATATCAAGTACAGTTCGCGGCAAATAATTTGGAAAAAATAAACAATGAAGCCTGCGCAGTAGATAATTTTTAAGATAATTTCAATAGTAAAAAGTTTACAATTCGTATGTATTTTTTTGCGGTTGAAAGTATTCCGCTATTAATTCTATTCACAATTCCTTTTATTTTTTATGTGAAAGGCTAACAACGAGAGTGCTAACGGTGATCACTCACCATCAGATCACCACCTGATGGTGAGTGATCACCGCTGCCCGTCGTCACTGACGACACAAATAGAGTCGCCAGTGCTTATTATATTATGATGTGCCAATTATTATGACGAAAATAAATATATTTTAAAATTACAATATGGTAACTATTACGTAGAACCTCCCACCCTTATGAGGAAGGCATATATTCAGCACTGGACAATTAACCCTTCTTTGCATGTTTTTTTTTTATTGGCGAAATAAATCAAGGTGATACAATTCATGTTCAAAATTAAAGGACAAATGGTTACAAAAATAAATTTGACAGCTATGTTTTTTTTTTCTGCAATGAACATTAAAAAGGTATCCAGACACGATCAACTTAAAGTAAACTTGTTCTTTTATATAATTTTTGGGCATTCAATGTTATGATGGAAATTTCCACCATTATGCAAAGAAGGGTTAACGGCTGATATAATGACGATGATGATATTCACTTTCATCACCATGACAATTGTGTGAAGTTTGACCTTTTTTGTTTTAAATAAAAAATTACTTATTGCCAACACATACATATGAGTGTTTATAAGTGTATATAAACATAAAAGTATGTAATGAAACAACCTAAAAGTCCCCGATTAAAATAACTTTCGATGCAAAACGTACATGTATATATAAAATCGTTACTGCACAGGTCACGTGCTAGAAAAACTATTATCAAATTATTTGCCGGTGACTGTACTTTAAAAAATTTCAATCGAACAATAACCATCCGTTAATCCGTTTTCAACCAACAGTAACAAAATTAGAAACGTATTCCACCGATGGGTTGCAATATGAAAATACTTAAAAATAATTAAGATTACCAAACATACGATCTATTTTAGTAAATAACTTAATTTCATAAATAACAAATTGTCAATTGTATTGCAATTTTTCGTCATTTCAATATAAATAATTAAGAGCGTTCATACCAAATGTTAAGCGACATGAATTGTTAATTTTCAAAAATAATTCAACAGCAGTTAATATTTAAATATATTTTAAATACACAATAGGGACTTAACGCGATGAAATTTTTTTTTATGCGACTTAGAATGACGGAATGACGGATGATGGAAAGTGGTAACCGTCGCCTATAGACATGAGCAGTACCATGGACATAGCAGAGTATACTGTTTCACCCATGATACCCCCCATGCGTTGCCATTCCTGAGGACTCAGGTGTTATTCCTCTGTACCCAGTAAATTCACGTCATATCCCACCCTTCAAACCGAAACACAGTCATGCAAACACAATTGCTTGCACACTAAATATAAATAAATGAAAAAAAAAAATTAAAATTGTTTTTGAAAATTGACATAAAAAAGGTCATCTGACTTTGGTATAAACACTCTTAGCGAAGTCTAATCAGTAAAATCTGTTTTCTTATAAAACTATAATTAAAAACTTACATTAAACGACAATAAAAATAGAATTTATATTTTATATAATCATAAACACATCCAATATTTTATAGCTTCAAGTAGGCAGACACCACCTACAGTTACCTGATCATTTAGTTAATAATCGTGATCGTTTCAATTCATATATATCATCATTATTAAAAAAAAAAAAAAAACAACTAACTAATCGATTTGTGTCACACTTTACCGATTAGACTTCAATACTGAAGTAAATGAATATTTAAAAATATTACACGTTCATCAACATAGAAATACAAAATACATTTAAAAACGATAGCCATTCTTTATAGTTCCCTTAAAAGATGGCACATTACAAAATTGGATTTCATTAGATCACATTACAAAATACACCTGACTAGCAATTTAGATGTACTTTTTGGATGCTAACGAGGCGAAATTAAAAGTGAAAGAGTATCTTCCTTTTTGTATATATATATATATATAATAGTTCCATATTACTAAAATTAGAATTCTATTCTCTAGATAGATTTTATTCTCTTTTTACAATCTTAATTAAACATTAAAAATCTCCATTTAAATTAAATAATAAATAAGTTTGCATTATGATGAGTTTAGTATTTTATATTTCTATGTTTAAAATAAACGAATTTGTGATTTTATTATGGACATAATAATTTTCTCTTTTTCAAAAGTCCCAATTTGCTGTTAAAATAATTTATCAAAATTCCAATTCGTTCATCAAACGTGTTACAATAATATCCTTTTTATATAATTTTAAAAATAGTTATTTCAGTAAACACGTGAAATCCTGGATTTTTAACGTTACGTAGTCCATTGTTCCCCGTGGTGTATGTTACAAGTACAAGTGATACAAGCCTAGCGACGCTCGTTGGTCAGACACCGCAGTGGCGGGCGAGGAGCGGTGGCTGCAGCGGACGCGGCAGCGGGCGCGGCAGCGGGCGCGGCAGCGGGCGCGGTCACTCGCGCGGCACGTTCTTGAGCAGCGATATCGCGTACCGCACGTATTGGACCAAATGTCGGAACGTGGACGACAGCGACAGAGGGCCGCACTTGCGATCTACCGCGATGAATAGATCTGAAACATATATATTGTACCTTAAGGACTGATCTGGTCATGAATCATCATCATCATATCCCCCTCAACAGTCCACTGCTGAACATAAGCCTCCCCCTTACGGGGTTTTGCCAGTAGTTGTCACGCGGATTAGCAAACGCAGTTAGGCTTTAGAGATGTTTAAAGAGCAAAAATGCTTATAAATTATAAATTAAGTGTACTTGAATAAAAATTATTTTTAGTTATTTAGAAAATATTATTATATAATTTATATCCGAAGGAGAATATATAAAGATGATCTCTTTGTCTCGCTCTCTGGGTACTAAGATATACTTTAGACTCCAAAAAAAAAAAAATGTGAATGACGAGAGATATTTTTCGTCAAAGGGGTACCATAGTGAATATTATGGTATCTATAGTACTTGTTTTGTGACAAAAATGATAACTTTCCTAAGCTATTGGTGATAGATTTTATACAATTAACACATTAAGAGAATCCAAGAGTTTTTACATGCATTATGAAGATATCTTGTAGTTTTAATTGTAATTTTTGAACTAGGAGACATAATTAAATATCGCTCTATCCTGTAGAGCATCATCTAGTTTTAAACCCAGCATTTATAGGTATTAGTTAGTTTTGATAATTTTTTTAAACATGTGTTACGGTGTGGTGTAATGCGAACAGGGGGTCTACCATGAAACGAAAATTCGAATTTTCGGGCTCAATTTCGTGCTTTTGTTCGTACCGAAATCGACCCAGTGATTGGAGCTTAACATTTCGTTCATCATAAATCCTACCAAAAAAGTACAAAGGAACGATATTTTAGCATTTTTAATATTTTTAAACGGTACGTACCATGTAATTTTAGCAACAAATTTTTGTTACGTTCGGATCCGAAATTTCGGAAAACATTTTATGGTAGGCCCCCAGGTCTAGTGATCTGTCGAATCAGATTGACTCAACTACCTGATAGGTACTCAAGTACTAAATATAAGGAAGTATTATTATATGAAGGTACCTATGACAGGTAAACTAGTGGTGGGGCGAGCTTGGCTACCGACCTTGGTTGGGCCGCAGGCGGCAGAGCCCGTCGGCCTGCTCCCAGAGGTCGTGCGCCACGTAGAGGAAGGTGTAGTACTTGGTGAGCTGCAGCAGCGCGTGGTGCGCCTGCGCGGGCACCGAGTGCGCCAGCGAGCAGTAGCCGGACGACGCGGAGCCCGAGCCGGCCGAGCCCACCGAGCCGGCGGGCGACGGCGACGGCGACAGCGGCGACACCGACGGCGCGCGCTCCCGCTCGCGTTCGCGCTCGCGCTCCCGTTCGCGTTCGCGCTCGCGCTCGCGCGCCTCCGCGCACGCGGGCTGCGGGCACGACACACGGCACACGTGCTATATCGTACACATTCTTGACTATACAAATAATACGCGTATTCGTACAGGTACACTTCCGAGTAATACCGTGTCGATAGAAATTAAAATAAAATGTAAACAAATATTGACACGACCATAAGATAGTCCGCTGGTGTTTTTCTGTGGATTGCCTGCTACTTCTTACGCACAGATTTCAAAAGTAGAAAAACCAATGGAATATGCTACTTCTAGATGACATATCAAGATTTTTTTTTATACAACTTAGAGTGACAAACAAGCTGACGGCCCACCTGATGGAAAGTGGTAACCGTCGCCTGTAGACATGAGCAGTACCATGGACATAACAGAGTATACTATTTCGCCCATGATACCCCCATGCGTTGCCATTCCTGAGGACTCAGTTGTTATTCCTCTGTACACAGCCATGCTGCTTCACGGTTGAAACACGAATGGGACAGAGGTGCCCAAGCAATCGGCTTTTGTACAAAGTCTTCCTCTGGTAAAACATACATACATACAAGGCATACATTTAAAATGAAATAACCGATTTAAAATTTTAATTTGTTACTAATTTTATTTAAAGAGTACCTCTCTATGATAATTTCAAACAATAAAGAATAAATTCATTAATTAAAAAAAATTAAATCTTACTTTCGTTCAGGGAAATAAACAGTTAAACAGACTACAAAAATCTACCTGCACTTTATATAGAATACGTTTTTGAAGTCGGTTAATAAAGCAACGATTGACTGCTCACCTTTTGTTGATATTCCTGCACAATCTTATTGTACTCTTTGACGTCCCGATTGTACATTTTGAACATTCGCAGGTACAGCAGAGCTTGTACACGAAGACTGTAACGAAAATAACAATATTAATTCATCATATCAGCTTTTAACTATTTACTGGTGAACATAACCCTCTCCCTCGGGGGCTTTTATTAATAGTTGCCACGCTTGGCAAGCGGGTAGCTAAGCGCAGTTAGACTTTGGTAATGTTTTAAGAAGTATACTGCTGCCTAAACAGGGGTGATTTTCTCTAGAAATCTGTCCGATTCTAGAATAAGGACATACGGGTATGCGACCCCGGCCTCCCGAGCTGCTGCGGTGTCCCCTCCCCCCTTCCTTTCCCACATAAGTCCCTTATTCCTCTCTTTCACCAATTTCCTTTACGCATTTCCAACTTTCCCTTCCTTTTTTCCTCAATCCTTTCCTTCATACCGTAGGTGGCGAGAACCACCAACAAATGCATTCCCAAAGAGGGTTAACGTCAGGCAGGTGGCCGGTCATAAAATTAAAAATCAAATCTTTTTGTAATATGGATAAAATCATATTACACCGACCCCAAATGATTAAGACAAGGGTAGGAAGATGATGATTGCTGCCTATTCCTCGACTATTAAGTTTCCTTAATTGCTCTCTCTATCTCTTACTTACTGATGAAATATTTCAACGAAAGTTGTTTTCCCATGAAGACAGCTTATAATTCTTAGGTACCAAGTAGTTTTTTACCCACAAGCGACTGTACTCGAATGACTGTGTTTCGATTTAAAGAATGGAATATAGCAGTGGAAATATTGTGCAGTAGATCAGTTATAAAAAGAGCACTAATTTCGAAAAAAAAAACGTTCATACTAAACAACTGATAAATTTTCTATAAACACGCTTTTGCTACTACATAAATATGATAGAACAAGGCAGCTATGTCTGGCATATTACCCATATTTAGGACAGCATAATAGATGGCACTGATCTCAGTCTAGTTTACAGAAGTTGGAGTACGAAGACGGCTTGAATCTCTGCGGCATCGAGTGTATGGAATTCATGTACTCAGGACACTATGAGTGTTATATACATATATACTTAGTTCTGCTGCTGCTCGATAGATGTCACTGACCTGAGTATATCCAGTTTGCTGAAGGTGGAGTGCGGCGACGCCCTGAACCGCTGCGGCATCGAGTGTATCGACTTGATGTACTCGATGGTCTCGCGGTAGATGGTGAAGGCGCGCTTGGTGTCGTGCTCCAGCTCCAGCACGCGGCCCGTCAGCACGAAGCACAGCACCGACTCCAGGTACAGCATCACTCGAGGTAGCGGCTCTTGTTCACGCTCCGCCGCCGTGCGGAGGCGCGTCGCCTCTTCTAGGTAGTACCTGTGTAAACATATTGAATATCATGTCATCTGTTTGAGTCATAAATGTATGAATCGATAATATCTTGGTCTATGTATGAGGTGAGGGGGAGAGGAGGGAGCCAGTCGGCCATTTTCTGCGCGGACTATTAAAGTCAAATTATAACGTAACATTTCGTATTAGTAATATTGTTACAGAATCCGAAACGAGGATATCCTCAGAAGAATTAAAGCAACTGTCACAACTTGAAAGACAAGCAAGCTGAAGTGGCAATGGACCGGTCATATAGCTTTAACTTTTCCCAAGTTTCCCAAATGACGATTATGTAAGGCCAAACATAATGTAAGACGACCTTCCAATGCATTGCAAAAAAACAGTGGATGCAGATAGCTCGGGACCATTCTTTGTGGCAGTCTATGGGGGAGACATTTGTTAAGGCAATGGTCACTTAATGGTTGAAATAATACTAATGATGACATCAATAAGTACAAATAATATTCTGGATTATCACGACCCTGATAAAGCCCATATGGTTCGCAATGATTTGCTATTTATTATTAAGAATTACTTGTTACAATCTGCCACAGTGAACATTCCATAATAAACCTATTTGCCTATGTCCATTAAAAGCACGTAAAGAGCTACTCACTTGTGATCACGTTCCTCGTCAGAGAGCGCGTCGGCGGGCAACCGTTCGAAGTATGAGAAGTAGATGGGCGTCTGCCCGCACGCCGTCCGCTCGTGGTTGGTAGCTCCGACGGCCGCGCCCTGTTCACACGTCACATATTACCTATATCCAATTTCTGCTGGTCGCGTTCTTAATTTGATTCTAAATATTTGTGAACAGTTTGTGCACGTATTTAAAATCCTGACTATGTTATACATTTTTTATGATTCGACAAAATATACTCTGTTATGTTCATGGAACTGTTCGTGTCTACAGTTGACGGTTACCACTTCATATTAGATGAGTCGTCAACTTGTTTCTATTTTAAGTTGGATAAAAATGTACGCCTCATTAAGTTCATTAAGTTGTACTGAAATAGATTACACACACATGAAAAGTTCAAGGGGAACATAGCAGTACGTACCTGGTCGGGAAGCGGCGTGGGCCTGCGCTTGGGCTGCGGGCGGCGTGCATTGTGTGCGCTGTGCGGATGCAGCGGGTGCAGCGGATGCAGCGGATGCAGCGCGTGCAGCGGCGCGAGCGGGTGCAGCGGGTGCAGCGGCCGCTGCAGCGCGCGCACCACGTCGCCGCGCAGCCGCGCCAGCGGCACGCGCACCACCAGGCGAGACCGCCCGCCCGGCACTGCAGGGGGACACTCGCATTCATTCCTTGCTCATATTGACTAAAAATATATTTGCTGCCAGCGAATCCTAACCTTATTAGGTTAGGATTCATTATTATGTAAAAGTAAGTTCGTAGGTTTGTTTGTTGGCGTCTTAACAGCTCAACTGATCACAGTTAGGCTTTGGTGGTGGCATATTAAAAGGGATGCTGCTACTTATCCCTCGAGTATTAAGTTCCGCCATGGTCTCGCTAAATGGTTAGTCACGTACTGAGCGGTTTGAAATAAATTTCTCCCGCGAACGCTCAGGCTGTGGAACGAGCTCCCTAGGAGGTTTCCCCTAAAGACTACGGTGCGGGGTTCTTCAAAAAGGGTATATTAAGGTTTCTTCAGAGTCAACAATGTGCATGTGACACCCCTAGTGTTGCAGGCATCATTAGGCTACAGTAACCGTTTACCATAATGCGGCCTGTACTTTTGTATGCCACCTTTGTGGTTTAAAAAACTTGCACAAAAACCGGTTTATTCACTGAATTAGTATAGGTCCAAAGAGAAAGTAAACCTTTTCGGTTAAAAAAATATTAACATTGGCAAAATATCGCAGACTATTCTACTAAAAACCATCAAAATACTCCTCCTAATGGAAGATATGTACTCCTGGTACATATCTTCAAGTTATTAAACGATCAAAAACAAAAATTCAATTAAGAAATTAAAACAATTTTACTCTAGTTCAATAAAAATATAGTCTTACCATTTGAGGAAGCCTCTTCGAGCCTCTCGGAGCCGCGGCCCGACTTGAGTCCGGAGCCGACGTCGGCTTCCGCGCGAACGTACCGCTCGCTCGGTAACCGCTCGAGTCCAACCTTGTCGGTGGCCAACCGCTCGAGTCCCGCCTTATCGGCCCCCAACCGCTCGAGTCCTACTTTGTCTGCTCCCAACCGCTCGAGTGACGTCTTATCCTCGGACAAACGCTCAATAGGTAACTTCTCCGCTGACAGTCTTTCCATAGACTTTTCTTCGTGTCGCTCGATAACTTTTTCGCCGGATAACCGCTCGTGAGGTTTACTTAATCGTTCATGTGACACCTTGAAGAAATTTTTATATTTAACATTCATTCCCATTTATCTAATTTATTAATTACACTAGCGACCCGCTCCGGCTTCGCATGGGTGCAATATTTGTTTATGTAAGTTTTAAACTGTTTAACGGCCTATTTAGCAAATTGATGTGCACACATTTATATAGTTTAAGCTTCTTACATCCGTGCTCTGCCTATTATTCTTGCACGACCAGCGACAACGAAATAATTTTACCAGCTTATTATTTTTACTTTGCATTATCTTTTGACCAACTGCATCGATTAACATGCTGTAAACAGTAAAGTTTAGTTTCATGAAATTTACATTTTGGTTCAGCTATTTGTTTTTATAAGATCGGTAGAACCGGAGATAACCCGAACATATGAACTCACAAACTTTATCTCTTTGTAATATTAATATAGAAGTATAGTCGTTTGTATAGCTACCATCTGTTTCTCAGGCGTGAAAGAGCTTTGAAGAAGAAGTAAGTTGTAAGAAGAAGAAGTTTAAAGAGCGGGATATAGCAGTAAAATTACAAAGTACTTAATTATAACACCAACGTATTACGCACAACGGCCCAAATGGGAGGCTAAGTGCGGAAAACAGAGTCTTTCTTACATTACAACACCAACGTATTTTGTGATAACCATGATGCTGTTCATGTCTCCATGTGTTTATTAAGTGGACTATCAGCTTGTCTCCCATTATATTCCATAAAAGAACACGGGCCTCTAATTGTATCAATGGATGATTATGGGGGAAAGGGATTGTTAGTAATGGAGACTGAGAATCCCATTGCTAGCAATATACCTAACTAGGTCGACCTCCTCGCGGTTTTCCCTGGAAACTATCATGGTTAATTCCTGATGAATTCACCATGATATAACTGGCCTGTTTTCATTCTCATCTATCACCCTTCACTGGTGCTCCGCCAGTGTATCCCGTTGGCGCAGGCGGGGTTACCATTCCATTTTTACCCATCAAAAAAAAAATAGTGGGTGGTTATAATTTCATTACAAAATTTGTCTATGGATATTCAGAAGAAAATATTTTGTGCATAATTATTAAATATAGTGGAGGAAAAAGTGGTTTACGTTGTCATTTAACATACAATAAATAATGTATATAAATTATTACTTTACAAATTACAGTATAAATCTATACTAATATTAGAAAGAGGAATGATTTGATTGTTTGTTTGTTATTAATAATTATAAAAATCTTTTCACCTATAGGAAACTACATTAACAGCGAGTAACATAAGATTATACTTGTATATTATTTTTGAAAATTCTATTTATTCATGTGAAGCCGGGACGAATCGCTCGTGTTAAATATATGTTCTACCTACCTTGTCTCCAAGGAACCTTTCTGTCGAACGCCGATCAGGTGCGATCCCAGGAATTCTACTCGTCCGATCCGACATACGGTTACTGAGCGTCCGCTCGGGAGGTAACCGTTCACTTAGTATCCGATCCGGTATCCGGTCATTAGAGGTGCGCTCTGTCGGTATCCGGTCGAGAGTTGTCCGGTCCGGTATCCGATCTATGGGTCTCTCAGCAGAGCGCCGGTGGTCAGCCCGCTCGATAGATACACGCTCCTGTATCCTCTCATTGGCGACTCGGTCCGCTTCTCGTCTTCTGGTGAGGGTTTCCGGTTCCTGAGGAGGCGAGACACGCGCCATCGCCTCCTCGTTCCGCCGTTCCGTGGAACGCTCACGGTTCCTGCGGTCGTCATCATCCGCAGACTCTCGGGTCATGGGAACCTCTATGATTGTCACCTGTCCCTTGCCCTTCCCGCCTTTCCCTTTACCACCTTTGCCCCCTTTTCCACCGCATTCGTCACCCTTTTTGGGCGTAAAAACCTGTAAATATTGATAGACAGTGTTATATAAATATAGTGGACAGCACAACCAACACATTAGAGAAAAAGGATTGTTAGTATTGGGGTCTAAAAGTCTCATTTTTCCACGACGATTTTCCAATTTAAATAATATATGAAAAACGATAACTCGTGATGTCCACTTGAAATAAGAAAAAGTATTTTGTATAGATTGTGGATACGGACCATTTACTAAGTTTATTTACTAATATATAAATATAATTTATGTGAAACTCATACACACATGTGAAACACATATTTTAAATACACAATCGGGACTTAACGAACAGTCCTGTCGTGGTCACGACGTGGTGCAATCCACGTCGAAACGTCGGCAATAAAGAAGCAGCTATTTACCTGTAAAAGCGTTTACATCGCGTTAAGTCCCGATTGTGTATTTAAAATATGTGTAAACAACGCAAAAGTTTAAAATTAACTAAAGTGAAATTTGTTTAAATTTTTGTCGTAAACAGTTTGACTAATGGTCATGAAGTTTGACATACATATACATCCTTCTTCTCATCATCATCCTTTATCCATTCACGCGAACAAACTCGTGGGTGAAATCTAGTCAATTATAAAACGAACCTTTCGGAAGATGTGTGTTTTGTTGTCCTGCGCGTGCGGTTGGGGCAGGTCCAGCTCGACGTCGCTCTCGGGCGCGGCGGGCGCGGGCGCGGGCGCGGCGGCGGGCTGCTGCTTGGGCGGGCGGCCGCGCTTCTTCTTCGCGGGCCGCTCCTCCAACGCGCGCGCCTTGGGCGGTCTGCCGCGTTTCTGCGGCGCTGTGAACGCGGGCTGCACCCGTGGCGACGTCTGCTGCAAGTGTGCAAACGTAACCTTTGTGAATGTGGGGGAATAGGATATTATTAATAATAGGAATCTGACCGCTGTGTTACTAATAAAATGCCCTATCAGGTCGACCTCCACGCGGATCGCCCTTGAAACCATTTTGGCTAATTATGAATTCATCACTATGAGCCAATATCCCCCTCACTTATCACCTCTCCCCGCCTGCGTTATCGGTATACGCTGGCAGAGTAAGCATTCCATTATCATCCATTAGAAAAAACCTTCATGAGTGATCAAGTACTACATACGAGTGGATGAGCAATATATAGCAATCTATATATTAGCACAGTAACGAGTGTATAAAATTGGCCGTGTCATTCCTTCTCTGCGGAGTAATTAAATGGGAGAGAATTATTCGTAATCGCTATTTCCTGTCATAAAGGAATAAAAATAAAAAAAAAAAAACAGGAGTATTAACACTTACCGTAGCGGGCCGCATTGGCTCGTCGTCACTGGACGCGGTGGACGCGCGGTTGGCGAGAGAGCGACGCCGCCGCGCGCCCACCGGCGACGGCGACGACGCCTCCGAGTCTGACATATCCGAGATTGGACTCTGTTGGCAATCAAATACAAATCCTTATTGATTGCTCACTCCTATAATATGGTAAGCTAATTATCGTCTCAACCATTATCCGTCCACTGCTGAACATAGGCCTCCCCAATAGACTGCTATAAAGAATGGTTCTGGACCACCTGCATCCACTTGACTACATTTCCATCTAGTGGGAGCTCGTCCTACACTGCGTTTGCCCAACGGGGCCGGCACTCAAGAACCTCCTTTCCCCATCGAATGTCGGTTATTCAAGTTATGTGACCAGCCCATTGCCACTTTAGGCTGCTTATCCTTCGGGCTATGTTGGTGACTTTGGGTCTTTTGCGCATACCCTGATTTCGGATTCTGTCACGCAAAAAAACACCGAGAATAGTTTTCTTCATAGCTCCCTTAGTAAGTTGAAGCTTTTGCATATAGGCAATGCACTAGTTAAATACCTTCGTCTTAAATTATTAAGGTGAACTGATCATCAGAGTAGAATTATGAATTATTATTTCTAAGAGTTAAATAGAGTATCGACATTATCGAATCTGATATATTCGAGATTGGTCTCTGTGTATAAATAAAAAGATTGTTTTTAAGTTTTCCTCTCTGAATAATTTGGTGATCTGTGATAAGAGAATTATGATATCTAAAGTCCAGTTTACACGGCAGCGAATATCAACATTAATAGGGATTTCAAGCAGCAAGCGTTTTAAACTTTGCAATGTGGATCCGTTTTTAGAAATAAAAGCAAGTACAATAAGAAAAGAAAGAAGAAGGATACCGAATCTGACATTTGACATTGGACTTTGTTTACAAGCACGTAAAGAATATTATGATTCATTATTTGAATATTACATAATTATGATATTCAAGAAATAAGTGATTGCAAGAAAAAATAATTGTATACGTATGAAATTTACAAATAAAATAATAACAGACAAATCAAAAAGTTTTCAGATAATCGAATAAATACACGAATTTCACCTTTACCTCACTGGAAATAGAAGATATATTTCCATGTAGAGCTCCAACGGTTTGCCATAAAGCATCCTTAAACCGAAGATACTCATCTATTAACTCGCTACCCTCACGAGGTGCGAAGTACTTCAACCGTGCTTCAAAATCGCCGAGTCCACTCCTCAAATTGCTCTTTAGCTGGGCTAAACTGATCCATTTTTGGCGAATTTCCTCTTTCCGATTCATGGTGCGCGTCAACAGATTTACGTTCGAGAAGGGTGTTTATTTTACCCGCACTCCCCCTTGTATATAAAGGGTGGCGTAAGTAATTAAATTATGCATCGAAAACTTCAGAACGGAAAATGGATTTAATCACTTTATAACTTATCACTTCAAAATTCGATTAAATATTTAAAAAAATAATTTCAATAATTTATTATAAATCACTTTCACAGTTTTATAAATATTAATGTCCAATTCCAAAGTTCTTGTACACGATAGTACAATGTATGAGCACGAACGCTTAAATGCACAAATTCTAAAGTAGACCAAATTATATGATAAAAAGACAATAAAATATTTAACGTCGCGCAACTATAGTAACACTGTCGATCAAGAACACTAATGGGCAAAGGTGGGATCATGTGAAACCGATGCCCCAAAGACGGTGTCAGCGCATACGCAGACCGCTTACTCAGTTCCCTTGTACGGGGAAGTTTATCTTAGTAATTCGACACCTGGGGCTGGGAATGGTCGCCGTCACACGACGTGACGGTAGCAAAGTGCAGCGCATGTGAATTTGTGCATACAAAACCGTTTTGTTTTGCTTAGAATCGGTAACTGGAAACCTACCTATTTCATTTACATTACCTAATACATACATTCGGTATATTCCACCTAACAACATACAAATTAATAACACATAACAATGTAATATGTTTACGTATAGGCTATTTTAATGGGGTCTATATTTACCTTACACATTACATTTCAGTCTCCATGGGGATTACTATACTATAGGCTACGATTATCTCATACTATCCGTTGGGCCGGACTTGTTTGCCTTTCTAAATATCATAAAATTCCATGAGTATGAAAAGTTACTATAAAAAAAATTACTCCACTGACCGGCTTGTCTTTGACGTCGGCGAGCGCATGCCTCAACTCCTTTCCCGAGTCGTAGGTCTGTTCTTGTGGCTGTGCTTGGGGAGGGGCAAAGTTGGACAGGCTCCAGGAGGACCGCTGGGCGGGCTGCGGCGCGGGCGCGGGGGCTGCCGGCGGCGCCGCCGTTGACTCCGCCGACGACGACTCGCTCTCAGAGTCCGAGGGTGATGAGCTGCCCGAACTGGGGCTGGCGGAGCCAATGGGCGACAATAACCTGTAATCGACCAGCGATTAATACGTTTTACCAAGCTAACAAAGAAAGGAGAATAATTTATTAATATTTATTTAACACTTTATTGCACCAACATTACAGGACAATAATGTTTTGGGTTCGACCAAAGACTTGTTAGACGCTTAGCAATCGCTGGAGGCTGTTGAGCCGTATAACAAACACTACAGACTACGTATGTTAGTAATAATATTTTTAGGTATCGGAAAAAATAACTTGAATGGGATGTGATTAAAATCGTCTTAATTGTGGGATATTCTCTATAAGCAACATTCTTTATATTTTATTTATTCTACTCAGATTAGTTAGTACAAGAAATAAGTAAAAATATTTTCCAGACAGTGAGTATTTTTATACTCCTTTTTCCCCTATAAGCAACTTGTCCCAATAAGATTTTTTTTTATTGAAATTGGTTCAAATGAGTTACTTATATAGAGCGTTAACTGTATATACATTTCCAGACAATTTCGACCTACGACAACTGCTAGAAAATTATCGTCGGCTGTGGTGATTCGTCTTATTATATGCTCTTGGTTTAGAGTTTTAGTTAGTCAAAATAATATGTTGCTTGATACTCACGGCCCTATACTGGTGGTGGTGGCTGCGACTTCGTCATCGCTCTCTGATAACCCAAGGTCCTTGTTCACATCGCTGTAAAAGCAGTTTTAAATTAAAACATAGGGTAAAGAAATATGTTACTGTGATATAGACAACTTATTTAGGGGGGAGGGGGTTAAATAATGCGGACTATCAGTCCAATTGCTAGCAATATAGGCTGTCAGGTCGACCTCCACGTGGTCCCCCCTGAAAACCATCGTGTTGAATTCCAGGCGTATGTAGTTCGTACGCGTTCGTAGGGAGTTCATTACGATATGCTAACTGACCTGCCTTTTCATTCTCACCTATCATCCCTTTTTGATGCCCCGCTAGCATATATCATTAGCGCGTTATCATTACATTATCTTCCATTAAAAAAAAAAGCTCAAGGATGTTGTGTAGTTAAAATGATGATGTTTTGGGGTCAAATTTAGAGTTCAACTATAATCACTGGTTCAACCGTCATACTCGTGAACGAGTTCTGTGTGACTGGTCTGTTCAAGATGTCTATTGCCTTATCTGTTCATTTAATTCTATTGATCTTATTTTGAAAACAAAAGACAAAATACTTACGCTTACAAAATACCTAATAACTTTTAAATATACGAGTATATTTGAAAAAATAATCCTTATTTATATTATAAACTGAATATGAGTTTGTTAGTTTGTTACCTTATAGCGTTTTAACGGCTTAACCAATCATAATGAAATTTGGTATACACATACTGTATGGAATGGAAAAGAATATAGACTACCGCCACGCGAACAAAGTCGCGGGTAAAACCTAGTAATAAATAAAGTTTTTATGAAATAAAACTTACGGTGAGACTGAACTCCTCGAGTTTGATATCCGGTTGTCTAAACCTGTAAACAAATAAAAAACAAAATTTACTTATTTATTTTTTATTACATATAATATAAAACATACTGGAACATAATTATCTGATAATAATAACAATTGTCTCTGATCACCACGTTATAAAATAAATTTTGTTACAAAAAAAAAAGTCAACTATTTTCATTTCATACTAAACTACTTTCATGAAATTTCTATGGAAATAATCTAAAAATATATCCTTTCATATATATAAAAAAAAATCTAAATCGGTTTATAAATGACGGAGTTCTGAGGTAACAAACATAAAAAAAAAACATAAAACCGAATTGAGAAACTACACCTTTTTGTAAGTACTTTAATAAGTATTCAGGTAACGCACACAGATGGAGGGACCATAGAAAAAGTGTTAGTAGTGCCTAAACATAATGTCCTTTTTTCAATAGATGAAGACTCTAATACATAAGATATCTTAAGGACTATGCCATTAGCAATATTTTCTAATACTGATTTATTTAGACATGAAGAAAGAATACTCAGACTTGAAAATAAGTCTTAATAATAACTTAATCATCGTATTGTATCAATTTCTAACTGTACATTGCTTTTCACCTATAATTGCCACGCTTGGCAGACGGATTGGCAATAGCAATTAAGCTTTGGAGATGTTTTAAGAGGAACGGTGCCGCCCATTCTTAACCCTCCCTTAGAGGGGGGAAAGGGATTGTTAGTAATGGAGACCGAGAATCCCATTGCTAGCAATATACCCAACTATGTCGGCCTTCTCGCGGTTCCCCCTGGAAACTATCATGGTTAATTCCTGATGAATGCATCATGATGGTCTAACTGGCCTCTTTTTTATGCATTTTAGGCATTAAATAAAAATAAACCTGCACTTTAATTCAATATTGAAATCCGAAAAAACGGAAAAGATTTAACGATCCGGATAATTGTAGGCATACGAGGTTTGTCCGGAAAGTACGTATAAAAGTTTTTTAAAAATTTTATTTTACAATTATTCAGGTAAATCAATTTTATCCCCTTCAAAGTACTCCCCCTGTGACATAATGCACTTGTGCCAACGCCGTTTCCACTGTGAGAAGGCTCCTTGAAAGTCCTCTGGTTGTAGGTTTCTCAGCTGCCCCGTCGTAGCTTTTTTTATCTCATTTATGTCCCCCAAATGCCGCCCCCGAAGTACCAATTTGGTTTTTGGGAACAAGAAGAAGTCACACGGGGCCAAATCCGGCGAATGCGGGGTGTTCGGTCACCGTAATGGAATTTTTACTCAAAAACTCACGGAACGATCTTGGCGCAAATTTTTTTCATTTGAAGTTCGTTTCTTAGAATTTCGTGGACCACGGTTTTGCCCAAATTAAGCTCTTCAGCCACCTGTCTGACCGTTAAACGACGGTCCCCATTAACACAAGTTCGAATTCTTTCCACGTTTTCGTCGGAATGTGAAGTGGAAGGACGTCCTGAACGTGGGTCATCTTGAACGCTTTCTCGGCCCTCTCTGAATCTTTTTAGCCACTTGTGGACGGTTGGTTCCTTCACAGCATCATCCCCATAAATGTTCTGAGATCGGCAAAGGCATTTGCCGAGTTTCGAGAGAAATGATTACGACGCGCTGCTCTTCAACGGAAGCGGGCTCCATGCCGACGGGGTTTCGTTAAGAGGTAACTTCACAGATGGCGTGACAAAAAACGGCGGTCAGACCAGAACTGAAGCATTGTTAGGGACATAAGGAAGGGGTCCTGCGCTTACCTGGCCTCCCCATAATTCGCATTCCAGAACACTTTTATACGAACTTTCCGGACAGACCTCGTACATACGCGTCGCTCAATAGGCGAATAAAGTGTTTAAATTAAAAACGTTTTTGTATCCAAGCGTTTAAAGTCTATATTTGGTTCAACGAATCAATACCTACCAACAACGTGTACGTAACAGGTGAATTGTAGTGAAAATTGAATATTAAATTCATTGCGGGAATTTTACGCTCAGGTTCAAAGTTTGTTGTCATTTATAATTATTGCGTAAAACGAAAGGGAAATTTATTATTTTTTTTATTGCTATATTGACTATAAAATACTGCTTAGTGACCTATATAGCCTGATGGTAAAAGCAAGCTGAAGCGGTAATGGGCTGGTCACAAAGCTCGAAGAACCGATAACTGTTGGAGAAGAAAGGTTCTTCGGCAGGTGACTCGGGACCGTTCCTTATGATGGTCTATGGAGAAAAGGCCAATGTTCAGCAGTGGACAGATAACGGCTGATATGATGACGATGATGTTATTGACTACCTCCAATGTCCAGGACTCGATTCTTCCCCCAGTTAATTTACGAAATGAATTGTTTTAATCTAGTTAGGGTGGTTATTTATTTTCTCGTAGCAAATGGTGATTAAAGACTAGCTCTCTTATTCATACAAACTAAAACCTACAAATCTATTCCACTGTTTTGTCACTTTCTTACATATTGGGAATTTAGTGTAAATAAAAGAGACAAAAGAGTTCAATAGTTAAAACAGGTTTATGAGAAGTTTGGTCTTTTTATAAATAAGGGGGGTAGAAATTTAGTAAAATTTCAGAATTAAGAGATACTTCTTTAATAGTAGAATAAAGAGTAACAGACAAACACATCTTTGCATTTACAATATTAGAATTGTATGTATGTAGATGTATCCATTCAGTGGAGACGTCGATGTACTTGAGTAACAAGCAGTGTACCATTGTGCACTAGACATAATAAATACATAGTTAAGTTCTGAGAACTACTTAACTAAAACTTATGTATGTCAGTCATAACAACAAGCACTTTAGTGACCGTTAAGTTAAGAATCTTGAAATTAAACGGTCGACAATGTTAGAGCTTTTGCGGTACTATCGTCATCTGCATTGAGCAGTGATTTATTATGTTGCTCGTTTAAATGGAAGTCCCGTGTTTGGTTCACGAATGTATTAAATGTACGATATGAACTATTCTAAGTTGTGTATGGAATTTGTTTTTAATTATTTTTAAGAATATTTTAATATTTAATAGTTGAGGGATGGGCAGCAGCGCCCTCTTAAAACTTCACCAAGGTTGCCAACCCGATTGCCAAGTATGGCAACTACTGGTAAAACCCCCTAATGAAGAGGCTTCAGCATTGGACAGTTAACGCTTGATAGAAATCAATAAGAATAATCCTTATTAATTAACATTATAAATGTGAAATTACTTTGTTTGTTTGTTGGTTACCTTATAACTCTTCATATCTGAACGGAATCTATTTAGAAATTAGAAAACAGATAACATGCAATTTAGTTCAACAAAACCGATACTATTATTATATTCAATTGGTTGCGGACGTTACCCTAAAAAAAAACTAAACAACCTGTATTCATAGCTTGAACCGCTAATAACTTCATGTATAATAAACACTCCGAGGGCATACGAGCTTGAGAAAGGGCTACGGTGTTTATTTAGGCGCTGTTTTGTACCAATACTTTACCACAATAGCGGCAACGCAATTTGAACTTTATAGCCGACATATAATAGGTCATATAATATGTGAACACGTTTAATGGTACAGCGTTATTGTAAATATTGCGCAGTAAAAGTTTAGGCTTATGAATAAATATTCAAGCAGAACCGACACCGTGGATTCGATAACAGTGAGTCACTTTGTCGCACTGAGGGCCTTTTTTTTTAATGGATGATAATAGAAAGAGAGTCCCACCTGTCCTATCAGCATACACTGACAGGGCGATGGATGATAGACGAAAATGAATATAGGTCAGTTAGTCTATCGTGACGAAATATATTAAGAATTAACATTGGGGATTCCGGGGGAGAGCCGTGTGGAGGTCGACCTGACAGTATACTAACGGAGTCACCAATCTCCGTTACTAACAATCTCTTCCCCCCATTGCGTCCCGTTCAATCAGGCGCGAGCCGAGTCCATATTGTATAAATATTTGGCAAATGCCAATAATACTGGTAAATTTGTGTCAACATTCCTAATCTATGCAGGATCAAGAGGGCAGAAGGGTATATTTTCACAGACACAAAGGGAAGTAAACGAGTGTCGCTTCTAGCCGGTGTATTTATTCTTGGTTTAGGTTCGGTGCCGGCCGATACCCCGCCGTGCAAACACTCGCGTTTCAAACTTTACGGTATTTGTTTATATGATTTAAACGTATAAAAGCTAACAAGACATTTTGTGAAGGCTTCCGCGAGCTCGTGTAATTGAGTGCAAAGAGTGTGTGTGTTTTTTTAAGAGATGATAATGGAATGGTTACTCCGCCTGTGTATACTGATAACGTATTAGTGAGAGAGGATAGGTGAGAATAAAAATCAAGCAAATTCCGTGTGGTTCCGGCATAGAATAGGTCACCCCTTCCTTTCCTGTGGATATCGTTAGAGGCGACTAAAGAAACATAATGTTAGAGGGATGGACAGCAGCGTCTCTCTTAAAACATCTCTAAAAGCCTAACTGCGGTAGCAAACCTGCCTACCAAGACGAAACTCCTCTTATGGGGAAGGCTTATGTTCAGCAGTGGACAGTTAACGGCTAAAATGATGATGATATAAATTTATTAGGGGAAAGCCGCGGGATACACCTAGTTCATCTGGGTATATTTATCACTATCCGAACCTTACAGAACATTGATATTCACTTTATATATTTACCCAAGTAAAAAGGGGGGAAAGGGATTGTTAGTAATGGAGTTTGTTAGCCCTATTGCTAGCAATATGCCTTATTAAGTCGACCTTCACGTGGTTCCCCCTGGAAACCATCGTGAACAATTCTTGTTGAATTCGTCACTATGGGCTAACTGACCTACTTCATCTCCTCACCTATCATCCTTCACTGGTGCCCCGCCGGTGTATACCGATAGCGCGGGTGGGGTTACCATTCCATTATCATCCATTAAAAAAAATCTATAAAAAAAAAGATACCCCACCAGCGTAAACATATGATAATACCGGGGGGGTTGTCATTCCATTTTCGTCCATTAAAAAAAAATATTCGCGTAAAAACACTGACC